ATCAAATTTTATTGAATTTTCGTTTACTTAAAATTTCTTCGAACCAAATAAATCGAATCTCCGAAGGTTTTTTCCAGTAAAACCGAAAGAATTATTTAGTTTTCAAAGACTATTCTAATATTAATGATCGATTGATCGCAACGCTTGCCGAATAACTGCAAACTGTCGGTGTAAAAAGCAAGGCAAATGGATTTTCGATCAATTTTCGTTTTTAGATTTGTAACGAACTGGTTTAGTAGGTATTTCCGTCTGATTCTGAAGAGACGATCTGACTGAACAGTTTCTGAGACTTATTTCTGTTTTCATCCATCTTCGATCAATTTGCCCTTTATTACACAAAAAGAGGTCATTGGCCTCCAGTGCATCGTCTAAATATTTATTTCTCCCAAAACTGAGTGATTATGTTAGATCTGTCGTCGATCTGTTGTTATTTGTTCATTTATTTGGTGCATTCGTTAAAGTAGACTGTGCTAATTGTAGTAAAGATTAAGAAGCAGTAAGCAAAAGCTTTATGAAGTGATAACTATGATAAGTATTTTTTTTCCAAAGCGGCCACAATTTTTTAAATGGAAACATTCCACTGGTTTAGCGGACCCGATATTTCGCCACAAGGATACCGGATTTTTAAATGGTTTGTTCCTTGGGGTGGAACCTCTGTACCGCTCTCCGAAATGAGGATATCCGACTCATCCATTTCAACCATTAAATGCATTATTAAAATTTCTTAAGTGGAATATTAGTTATTTGTGGCACAAATTTATCACTTGGCGTGATTTCTCTTTTGCCAATGAAAAAAATTATAATTTTTTTGCCGATTTTGACTTATTGTAAATGCCTTTGACTTATTGTGCAGTAAAATTTTTCATAACAATAATATTAAATAAATATTTTAAAATTTCTTGTTGGTTTATTTTTTAGTCATTTAATCCTTTTACTTTTTTTCATGATATATGCACAATAATTTCAACTTGTTTCACATTATTTTTTTTGTTTGAAAATTAAAACGTGATTTACCATTTCATTTTCTTTAGTAGCTCCTGTGATATGCATTTCAAACTTTCATCTTTTTATTTCTTTGGATCAGTTAAAACTGGAGGAAAAGTACTCGAATAATGTGTTTCCCTTTAATTTGAGCAGTATAAGTTTGTTCCCTGCCTGTCATCGAAACGGAAATCTCAGTGGTTCTAGAAACCTATATTTCGAAGTGATTCTCTGCTTAAGATAGCCCAACCGAACGCTTATGGAAAATGAAATTGCATTATGTATTCTCATTTTTATTTCAGTCTAAAAAATACTAGGTTAAAAGATGGAAAAAATCCATCCTATGGACATGCGGAACCACGTTCTAACCGTTGTAAATTTTATATGCTAAATTTTTTCAAAAATTATTCCCATTATATCCTCCGAACTAACGGTATAATGCGTAATGAGGCCTAATCAAAGACACAATACGATTTGGACAGAGCCAAAATTATAAAGGTTAGATAGTGTCAATTGAACACATTTGGGGGAGGGGGGAGGGATTAAGCTAAAGAATCCCAAGGGGTTAATATGTTGCGATGAAACAAAGGAAGGATTAAAAGGAAATGACAAGGTTTTAAAGGAACTAATATAATTAACATAACGGATGTTGTGACGAGGTTCATAAGAAACTATGTTGGAATTATGGAGTAAGGACAGGGATTAAAGAAAATAAACGGGTTATGACAAAAGAGCATAATAAGTTTTGACGAAATATCGAGAAAGTTGGCATTTGAGAAAGGATGAACGGGATTTCGGTGTTTTTCAATAAAATGTAGCAGATTCCATGAGATGTTTGAATTTGAGCCTATTACAACGGACGGGAATCCTATAGTTTGAAGTTATTGCTGCTTATCTTTTCGGGCACACAGACACACTTGTAACAGTGCAAACAAATTTCCTTTACCATTTCTGGCAAGGTGCCCTGCATCGGCCATTGATTTAATGAGCAATATTCGTTAGAGAGAATCATTTGACGTTGAAATGTAGGTAGGTTGCCACCACCACTTGGACTTTTCAACGATGCCATTATAGGAGGCTGGATTTAAACGTGGATACTCAAGATGATACTCTGGGCGACAGTCACTTGACTATTCTATCTGTCTCCTGTAAAATAGTGGTGAATTTTCTTATTCTTTATAATGAAGAAGAACACTGTTCGAAAAGATTTTTTTAAGGAGAGTTGTCGCGACTATTTGCTCGGCTTCAACCAAAATAATGCAGCCGAAACCAATGCGAAACAATGATTTTTTTCCCTTGACTGGTGGAAAGATATATTTATTATTATAGGTAAAAAGATATTTTTTGTTAACATTTTGTTGGCTCGACCTTTGAATATTCAGATCGAAAATAATGTAGAAAATGTTCCCTTCAAAAAGTAAGAAATAGCATGATGTGATTTTTCTGATCGAGACCACTCTTGTGAACAGACCAATTATTAGCGAGAATGTAATCCATTAGTGGAATTAAAGTACCTTTGGTAAAGCACAGTTTTATACAGGGCAGTTTCACAGACAACAGCTGAAGTAATTCTAAGCGATTGTTCAACAATGGACCATAGTTTTCCTTTAGTCGAGTGCCATATGTCTCCTTTCCAAAAATGCAGAAATGTTAATATTGCTGAATTTCAATAACATTTTGTTTATTTTCTTCAAAAATAACGTTTAATTTTGTTTCCAATTAATTCATATCAAGTCCCATTTCGATAATCGTAGTAAAATTAACAAAATTAATGGAATTTTGATAAAATTTTCTATATTTCACGTTCTATTCTCTAATGAAACCTGTTTCGTTCTTCCTCGCTATTCCTTATTTTTAATAGTTTGTGTCCCTTCTTGTAAAGCAGTTTGTAAAGCAGTATGGGCAATAATTCGACGAATTTGATAATATAATTTTATGCTGTGAATTGCTAATAATCAACTGCAATGATAATGATCTGCTTAAGATGAGCTGCTGTTATTTTTTTTATTTCTGCTTTTTGGTTTTGCTTAACTGAGAAAGAATTTTGAAATTCGATCGCATTGATTCGAACTGTGGAGTTCGGGTCGAAAAGTCAGTTTTTAAATGCCATTATTCTTTTCCTTCGTCCATGTTTGTTGGACTTTTATTTGTTCAAAAAAGAATCAAGCCAAGCTAAATTCCATGTATTGGTTCCATGTTAGATGGTGAAAAAATGGAAATAAAGGAGCAAAAAATGAAAGCCATTGATTTGTATAAAGCAGCAAAGAAAGAAAAATAAAATAATTTTGACTTTCCTCCTTTAATAACTCCTTTAATAGATTTAAAATGAATCTTTCGATAATTTCATGAATAATCTCTCCGCTGAGGCTAAACTGAATAAAAATGACATCCGTAGACTTCGTCCAATAAATACCTCTAAGAAGAGATTGTGGGATAATATGCTGAGCTTGAAACAAACGTCATAATAATAACTGCAATTCAAATTAAAGATTGAACCGTGAATGATTTTCTGTATAAAAATATTAATCAATATTGAATATTATAATTTATAATTTATAATTATTTATAAATATTACATGTCAATTTTTGCTTAATTCTTCTAAATCTAAATGAAATAAGATTATATAAAATATTATATAAATATAATTTAGACTTGAAACTGACTGTGAAATCGGGTTTTCAGCGATCTGGAAAGCGGATGATTTCAATTAATTTATTTGATTGAGTTGGCGAGGAACTTACTGCATTACACTTCAGGTGCGAGTGAAAAATAGGTTAGGGTAGGGTAGGTTCTATTATTTTTATCAAGAAAACATCAATATTCCTTCCTATTTTGTGGTTTTTTCAATTTTTTATCAAAAAGTGTAAGTTTGTATTCACAAACAATCCTTCGAATTCTTCGCTTATCGATATCCTTATTTTTTATCGGTTTCAAGCACGTTTCTTTCTGATAATTCAGAAAATGTCTCGAATTTATTTTTTGTTGCAGCAAAATCAATTCCGGTTTAAAATTAAAACCGATGATATAAATTGAAGAGTTAATAAAGGCAAATTTCATTTTTAAATAAATTTTTCACTGTATTTTCCTGGATTATATAAAATACTAATTGTGAACGAATAAATAAATCAGTTTTTAAGTGCAGTGGCAAAGGTCGTTTGGCCGTTGGAGACTCCCTACATACATAACATAATTTCTCTTTTATTCGTGTTTCAGTGATCTATTTTCGATCATTTTCCAAAAATAGAACAAATTTTCCTCTTCGTTAAACGAATCTCGTTAGGGCCAATTTTCAAATTTCGTGGTATCATTACTTTTCTTTAAATTGTTTCGAAATATAAATGATGCAAACGAAAATACAACAGTTGTGCCTAAACTACTGAACTTGTGAAGTGCGAACGGACTTTAATTGCCGTTCAAAATGGTGTTTAAAATTACGTTTTAGTACGCTGTTGATATGGATGAGTTCACTTCTTCAACTCATTCGCCAACCTTGTACCACCATTATTTTCTATCTATCAACCTGAAATTGAATCGCATTCGAATTTGCAGATTATCATTATCATTTCAAATATGTTTTAATATATTTTCTGAATAACGATGATATATTTCCTTCTGCTCAATAAATGAATGTCGCCTTCAGTGTCTGGCAAAATAAAGATTTATGGAAAAGTACAATCGAATTCTCTACTAGCTACATTCTCTGAATAATAATTCTTTAACGATTTCCTTCTGAAATTTAGATCGATTATTTGCCAAAGGCAACAACGAAAATTCTTTGCCATTTCTTCCTTAAATCCAGTTGAATTTTTTTTTTTATTGTAAATCCAATAAAAAATTTCCTTTTACTGGATATTTATTTAATCATTTAGGTTAAGTTTCTAACTAACTACTGATATTTATCGGTGAACTTGGTATTAAAACTGAGATAATTAATCTTATTGACCTATTGTCTCATCTCGGTCAGTAATCGAGAAGTAATCAGTAAACATTTAATAATAAGAATTTGCTTAATATTTAGGCGATTAGTTAATTATTCAGATTATTTAAGGTTATAAATCAGCTGCATGCATATAGAAAATAAATATTTTTTCACTGCATACACTTTACGTAAATATTTAATAAGAATACTGCAAATGTTAATTGAGCTGAAATCGTTTCCTTGCGTTTCCTACAATTAAAGGCATTTTTTCAATGACTACCAGTGTTAAAGTGATCTTTTTCTAACAGCTTTCACTATTACTGGTTACGCTGGCCTCGCTAGTTACAAGGGCGTCTCTCCAAGCTATTCGGTCCGATGCTATCGCTGACAGTAATAGAACCATTCCTTTTTCCATCGTCTAAGTCCCTATATCACTGGTCCACCACACATTCAAATTCTATCCTGGCTATCTCATTCGAGGTCCTAGTTGGTTCACCTGGTTTTTAGCTCCATCTGCCACAGAGTGATAAAGTGATAATTTGTGACAATTCTTTTTGGTGAAAATTTAACTTGATATTCGGGAATTGATTAATTAAATACGATTTTTTAATTTTCAGTTGTATTCTAATATAATTTTGCATTCAAGAATGTTGTTTTTCATATTATTTTATTTGTTTTGTATAGCCAAAACAGAGATTTTTTCGTCAATCGCAACACTTAAAATGCTAATTGGAGCCGAAAGAGATATTCCAGTAATGATTCACAATTATATAGAAAAGGAGATGGAAAGGCTTAATTACCTTAAAAAGTAAAATTTTCCTATTTTTTTTAAAATTTAAATAGTAAGAGAGATGAAAAAATTCTAGACAAACGAAATATTTATTAATATTAATTAATATTTATTCTAAAATATTAATATTACTAAAATGTTGATGTGCGTGGTGGTTTCCGAAAAAAAAAACAATTAAATCTCCAAAGGTCTAGCAGAATCTCATGGTAATTCTCCCACCCCTCATAGATAGAATAAAGCCCCTTTCGGAATGACTTGCAAACGAAAGTACATTTGGGACGAGCGAATTTCAGTTTTAATGGCAGGTTTACTGAAGGACTGAACCTACAATCGATTTTATCCGAAACTTCCCATCCAGATACCCCTAAATTATTGATCAAATTATTCAATAATAATTTACTAAATATAGGCAAATCTTATTGTAATGAACCACACAGTTTCATTTTTTAAATTATTTAATACTTTTATCATTATCATCATATCGTCATAATCATATCTACTATAATTGAAAATTAAAAAACTCAGGAGAATTGAAAAGCTCGAGAAAAAAAGAAATAGCGGTCTCCTTAAATTATTTAAATTTCTCCAGATCCTGCTCTGGTGCTCTTAGCACCACCAGTCCTCTTTGTACTCTTTATGCTCTGTTATTATCCTTGAAAACTCACTGTTCACCTTTAAAATCTCGATCCGCTCTATTGAATTTCTTTGATGTCTTTTTCTTCTTCTTCTTCTATCAGCTCTCACCATTACTGCTTAGGCTGGCTCCACTGGTTATAATGGTAAGGCGTTTCCAAGCGGCACCTCAATTTTTTACTATGATATTAGTAATTTTCTCTTTCCTCTTCAATTCTCTTATTAATTCTCTTATTGAGATCCTTAATTGCTCCGTTAATGCTTCCTTCAGTTTGCGCATTTTTGCCGCAGCTATAATTGTAAATTATAAAATCACGAAACTTTCCACATATTTTGTTATAAATGATAAAATGGTCGATCAGATTACTGACAAATAATTGCAAAAATTTAACTATGAATTGTGTTTGAAAAGCGAAAAATGTTGAACCAGTTCTGTATCCTTCTTTTTTAGGAAATAACGTGCTAAAATTTTGCATCCATCTAGAAGTGATATAGCAGTAGCATAGCTGATTCCCCTAAGGAATAAACTTCCAAAATTTTTTAAAATAATTTCATATCTGTAAATTATGCTTGAGATTTGCTGAAGAAGTTCAAATGCGCAGTGAAAACGCAGTCGCCGATGGTGAGGATCACATCACCCATCCCGTTAATGCATTTTTACTTATAAAAGGAATGACTTCCGATTGGCTTAAAGTTGTTGGACTAATGAGATCGAATTCTGCGGACGATTTCATTCGAAATGTATCATATCAGCGCATTTTGCAGAAGATTAATTACCCTACTCAGGTAAAAAAATAATAACATGCGAAAATAGCAGCGTAAATATTCAGTATTGTTATCAAGCATAATGCTCGTGTTTTTTTGATGTTTCAAATTGGCCTATTTTTTATTATTTTTAGGAAGACCTTGCTGGAGCAGCTATTGGTCTGCTTCGTCTTCAGGATACATATCGCTTAAGCACTAAAGATATCGCGAATGGCAAAATTTTGAACTCGAAAATACGTAGCTCTGCACTCTCCGGTATCGTGTTTTCAACTTTTTTGATGCGATTGAATGCTTTTTCCTTGGAATAAATAGCTGTTTTGGTTTTTAAGATCTATTTTATTTTCATTGCTTGTTCAGTTTTTTGTCCTTTTAGCGATTACTTTAATTTCCAATTCGTTATAATTCTTTTCATCGTCTTTGCTTTTTTCACTGTTTCAAAAAAAAATATGCAAAAATATTGATATAATATTTAATGGAGAAATTTTAGGAAAATTAAAGGTCTTAAAGCCAGTTTTTATTTAAAAAACTTCTAATTATTTTAAATTGCAGCCAATGATTGCTTCGAGATAGGACGAGCTGCTTATAACGACTACGATTATTATCATACTATAATGTGGATGCAGGAAGCCAAGGATCGTTTAGAAAAAGAGGTGAGACCAACGGCGAGTCTGGAGGATATTCTCGAATATCTTGCATTCGCAATTTACAAGCAAGGAAATCTTAAAAGAGCTCTTCTTTTAACTGATGAACTCTATAAACTAAGTAACATTTGTCTTAATGTTTCAATTTTGTTTGGTAAAAGAACTAAATTAAAACGCCGCAAAAATTTTTTATTTTAGCCAAGAAATATAGAATTAATTTATATTGAAAAGGTTTTACTAAACTTTGAGAATCAAGATGTGTTTCTTTTTAAATCTATTGAGAATATTATTTTTTAGATCTTTTCCAATACACAACTATTAATCCCAAAAAATCTCAATTATTTGTATGGAGATTTTACCGTCTGCCATTTAAGATCCAAATCATCCAAGAGCGAAGGGTAATGTCAAGTGGTATGAAGATCTTCTTGAAGAAGATGGCGTTCGTCGTACAGAAATGAGAAGAAATATTCCACCGTTAGTTAATATGAGGCATGATGGAGGTTTGGAGCATTCGGAACGTGATATTTACGAAGCACTTTGTCGCAACGAAATTCCAACGGTTGCTTAAAAGAATTAATTGAATATTATATAAAATACATATAAAACTCGTTTTTTCAAAAGAATTTGCCGACCTATCGGTTGGTGCCAACTTCAGATAACTGCACTAAATAATTTCCGACTTTATTCAAAGCAATGTCAGAAAGTGGAATCAGGAGATTTATGATGTAATAGAAGGATAAAAAATGCCGTAGGCCCTTTTAAAATTTTCACTTTGCTTTTTTTATTTTTTATGTCTATTTTTTAAAAATGGAAGCATTTATTTTTGTAGAGTATCAAGGCTCAATCTCGCTTATACTGTTATTACAAAATGGATCGTCCTTATCTTCGTTTAGCACCAATCAAAGTACAAATCATGCGCCAAAATCCTCTTGCAGTCCTTTTTGTTGACATAATGTCGGATGAAGAAGCTCGTGTCATTGAGCAACTTGCTGTTCCCAAGGTTTATTACATCTTTAATTTTTTATTATTAGTTATATTGAAACATTATTTTTACATACTATCGAGTTAATATCCTTCTATATGTATCCTTCTTCTCACTGATTCATTCCATAGAAATAAGATTTATATTTTAGCTGAATCGGGCAACAGTACAGAATGCCGCAACGGGAAATTTAGAATATGCTTCCTATAGAATTAGTAAAAGGTAAGTAATCTATAAATATCCCATAGCTATCGGTGAATTAATGATATATCTTTTACCTAATATTTTTTATTTCAACTGATCGCTGCATGTGTATTAAGTTTCATTTGAGATTTTATTTTGTAGAAATTTTCCTTTATTTCTCAAAAAATATAAGTCCACTAGAGATTTCTAAGACCCTAGGAGGTACTTCACGATCGGTTGTGTATAAACCAGTCCTTCCCCCAAAAGAACTACCTATTATAGAATCTCTCAGAATAAATTGATTTTATAATATTTAAATTCCTCGTTATCATTTTTATCGAGAAATGAACATCGAGCTTTAGTCCTCTTTCTGACTCATAAATGAGGAAAACAAATATTTTATTACAAATATTTTAGAATTACTGAATGAAGCATTATTTGGCATAATAGGCTATTTTTCTATAGGCTATTTTTGTTTAAATGGGCCAACTGCTTTTTAGTGCTTGGCTGAAAGGACATGACCATGAAGTTATCGATCGTTTCAATAAACGTTTGGATATGGCTACCAATCTAGAAATGGAAACTGCCGAAGAACTTCAGGTTCTTTTTTAGTTTAGTTTCCGGAAAATTAGCGAAAAAATTCCTATATTTAATATCTAAAATTAAAAAAGCCAATTTCAGCGAAATTCATAAAATCTTATCAAATTGTATCATAAAATTTAAAAAACGCTGATTTGTTTTTTAGATTCAAAACTACGGCGTTGGAGGCCATTACGATCCTCACTTCGATTGTGCTCGAGTATGAAAAATTTCCAAATTTTTCATTTTCATCAAAATTTGTATAAATCCTCTTTGTGCGAATGGCAAAGATATCAATCCTTTCAAGTTTTTTTTAAGACTCAGTCTTTTTGAGTTATAATATAATTTTATTCTTTTTGAGTCGCTAGTGTATGAAGTTTTTCTAAAATTGGTTGGTTAGATTTTTTGTTATTAGGCGAGATTTTTGAATTTCCCTTCTTTTAATTTCTAACAATGATCCTATTTTTAGAAGGAGGAAAAGAACGCATTTAAGGATCTCGGCACTGGCAATCGTATTGCTACTATACTTGTTTATGTGAGTTTTTTTTTCCTTCCGTAAATTCCATATCAGAGAACAGTGTGAACAAAATGTGAACAATGATTTTAGCAATCTGTACGCAAAAATTCATACGTCGATCTTTCGTGTTCAGAATTTGTAAATTCGGCTGCATGATTACATTATCTTTCAGATGACGGAGCCCGAGTACGGTGGGGGAACGGTTTTCACTGAAGTAAAAACATCTGTTAGTTGTACGAAGGTATTTTTAGCTTCTAAATTTTTAAATTGTTGATATTGTTGATACAATGATAAAATTATTGATTTTAATTTGAGATATTAAATTAATAGATAATTGTAGATATAGATGACATGGTCATAATCGGGGAAGGGAGACTGGAATGCGCGCGTAGGTTATAATACCCCTGCGATGACTTCGACAATTGGCAACTATGGCATCGGAGACGAGTGCGGCAATGGGGTACGCCCCTGGGGTACGTACCGAAGAGCATAAACTTTTACTTACTTTTACTTACTAAACTTTTACTTGCTTTCGACATCATAGAAAACATCATCTAGTCACGTGGCACTCCCTGGATAACCAGCAGATTGATTGTTGATAATCAGTCACCGTTAGAAGAGTTCCGTACTAGATAGTTACACCTATCGCGGCGCTAAAACGGGTAATCTTTATGGATCCGGCCATGCTGTGGTCTGAGCTGCATAAAATTGACAACTCGCAAAATACAGCAATACAGCATCCCAAGATCCTTCAACTTCTCAAATTAAAAAATTTGGAGTCAGTGAGCGCATTTCAAACCGAATTATCTCAGTGGTATAAATATCAATGATTTTTCTGGAACGGCTAATGAATACTGGCCGCACTAAAGGAATGTCTTCGAAAGTCAGCTACTTGCACGCTAGAGCATACTAGTTGGAAGTGCTCTAGTTGGGTATCGGAAGCAATTGTTCAGCTGTCTGAAAAAGCTACCAAAGCGAATGTCAGGAGATCTTGACTACTGGATGAAAAATTGCAACGACAGCAGCACGGCGGCAGAAATCACTTTTGGAGCAACTTTTGACTTGAGTGGAGACAGCGGGTCGATTAGTTGATAATAGGAAAATATTCCGCCTTTTTTATAAAACCACTATAACTCTGGAAAAGTTCAGTGAAATGGTAAGGGCAGTAATGGCGTGGCTGTTAAGAACATAAACGATCACCTCATAAGATGGAAAGAATTCTTTGAGGATTCTTTGAGAAGAATTCAAATTTAATCATTTAAAATCATTCATTTAAACCAAATTTAAATTTAATCACGGGCCATTTGTTACCTCGGATATAGCTGATACGTTCGTTGAACCATACGCTTGCAACTGCGAGCCGCCAACAGACGAAGAAATAATCTGTTATCCATAAACTTAAGATCAATAAGATTCTGGGAGAAGATGGTATGCAGGCTGAAATGTTGTCCATCATCCTTCATAACGCACCTTTGACAGATGTACTCTCAGGTTTGGAAAAAAGAAATATTACCAGATGACTAGAGCAAAGCAGTTCTGTTCCCAATTTCAAGAAAAATGACAGGACATACTGCGACAATTATCGAGGAATCAGTCTAGACGTTTCAACGAAAATTTTTGCTTCCCTTTTACTCAACAGACTTATGGATGTACGTGACCGCAGGATGCGCCCAATCAAGCTGGATTCAGAGCGGGGTGTGGATATTCTGACCAAATATTTTTATTAAGAAGGGGCTTCATATTGGAACATCGCTTCAAATATCTGTAACACAATGTCACGTGTTTTATCGACTTTTGCGACTGCCTTCAGAACGGCGCTTTGGATGGAACATGGTGTTCCAAGAAGATCATAAAAAAAGGCATTTTATAAACATACGTCAGCATAGGTCTGTGTATATATGGAAATATGAATCTGACAGACTCTTTGAAATATGAACTGATCTGTCAAAGTTGTGTCCTTTCCCAAACAATATTCAACTTTACGATAGACTGGACAATGGACATCGCTTGTCGGCAGGTCAAGAGGTGTATAAATTAGTCCTGAGCATCGTATCGCAGATCTTGAATACGGTGAAGATTTAGTCCTGTTTACTGACTGATGAAATGCAGGTAATCTAAATAAGGTGTCAGCAATTGCAGCAAAAATCAGACTATGTAAATAAAACGAAAGTGTTTTCGTCTTATGTGCAAAAAGCTGATAAAATGCCTCTTTTCGTATATTCATTACCGGTTAAGGAAGTGCTTAATTTTAAAATATCTTGTATCCATCCTAATACCGAATGGCCAGGCAAAAGACGATATTACAAGCCGGATTACGGCAACGAGAAATGCATCCTTCCAAAACTTTTATGGAGCCATCGTGAAATCATCATAAAAATGAAAGTCCGCATCTATATAGCCGATATTCGTTCAATTTTGCTATATGGCTGCAAGACAATGACCAATGAGAGTGGAAGATATTAAAAAGTTATCCTTTGACCATTCTAAGGTACGAGTCCGTCCAGCGGAGAAAATATCGCATGATCGCATCCATCTTCGTTCAAATACCACTTGCATAAATAATGTTATCACAGAGCGTCGCCTTCGCTGCTTAGGGCACTTTCTCCGTCGTCCACCACAAGAGTTGACGCATATTTCGCTATTTGCTAAACCGTGTGATAAGTAGCGTCAAAAGCGAAGTGGGCCAATTAAGGCCTAGACTGATACGGTCAGGAAAGATTTTCAACATATAGGTGGACCAGCAATATAAAGACTTAGACGGTGGAAAAAGGAATGGCTTCTATTACTGTCGACGATGGCTTCAGACTACTGGGGAGAGATTTGAGGGGGAATGAATTGACGGTGTTCAGAACAAGATGTTGGACAGACGAAACTTCACTTCGCGAGGGATACGGTTTTCTAGTTGTTGGTCTAACGGTTTATTGTCTTACCCAAGCAGACTAAGGAAATTTTTTATAATAAATTGTAAACAACGAGTTTAAAATTTATAGAGTTTATAAAACAAAGAAAAAAAAGGAAAAATGAGACGGAGATTGTCGCACACAAAAATCAAATCGAAAAACAACTTCAAATTCTCAGCCGATTTTATTTTCATGTATATATAGTAGTTTCATTTGCAAAAAAAGGCATTTTCAATGGGAATGGCATGCAATGAATGATTAACAATTATGTAAAAACTACATATCTGATTATCTGATAGCAATAACAAATACGAGATACGTTACAAGATAAAATATTTCTCACGCTATATTAGTTTCTTGGGTATATAAAAAAGGGAAATGGAATGCTGCTAAATCAAAGATAATAACAAAAGCACATGAAAAAACTATCGAGAGTATTTATAATTAGCAAGCTGACTCACAGCAATTATTTAAGGAATTTATTTCTTGTTGTTTTTTTTGTTGTTCGAGATTCGCGACATCAGACCGCTACGCCTTGGAAGCGTCTTATCCTTGCAGCCATTGGAGCGAGCTATTAGAAGATGAAATAGGTTCTCATTAAGATTTACTCACACTTTAATGAGTCAAAAAGTAATTCCATCGTGCAAATTCCTAGTCATGCTAGCAGCCAGTGGAGTTAGCCCAACCAGAAATGGTCAGCGATAATTACTCACTAGTAATGAGCTATTACTATATTGCATTTAATTATTTATTTCTACCAAAATCTTTCAGAATGCTGCGCTATTTTGGTATAATTTAATGCGAAGTGGAGAGGTAGATATGAGATCTCGTCATGCAGCATGTCCTGTTCTCACTGGTGTGAAATGGGTAACAAACAAATGGATTCATGAACGAGGTCAAGAATGGCGTCGTCCCTGCGGCCTAAACCAATTTGATCAGGAACGCTATGTTGGTGATTTAGGAGGACCGGAGCCAAGATATAAACCTAATATTAAAGCAGATCAATCAGAATAATTTTGTTCTTATCAACAAAAGTCATATCTTGCCGATGTTGCTTTTAATTCATATCCTCGTTCAGTATACTTCTTTGAATATTTCTTAACTTTTTGCTCATTTTGTTTTTTGCCCATTAATGATGAGAATATGATGCGAATATTATTTTGAAGATCTTCGGTCTTTGGTGTTATTGCTTGGTTATAAATGCTTATCAGTTGTTACATTAGCGTTATTTACTCTTCTTTTTATACATTGGCAATAATATCACTTTTTTCATTTCGGCCTTTTAAAAAAAAGTGCTCATTTTTATTTTGCAGTTAATCTGCGTTTTTCTTTTTTTCGTTTTTTTCTATTTATTTAAAAGCTTATTTGTTGCTGCCTTCATTTTATTGTCATAATATTAGTAAATGTTTACTACTCGTTATAGCTAAGTGAAAACGGCCAAATTGACGAAAAATGCCAAATTTTTTCGCTTTTTGGTGAAAAATTCACATTTTTTCATTATATTTGTTATAATATTAGAATATAAAAATTGATTTCATGTTTATAAAAACAATTTATAAAAAATCAAAATCAACAGTTTTGGCGAAGAAAACAACTGAAACTGGTCAATCAAAATAATTTTATTTTAATCAAAACTGTTTTTTTTTATTGGTTTTCCAAAAAGTTTAATTTCTAATAGTTTGCCAAATACATAAATTAGAATGATAAATCTAGATTTTACCGATTTTTTTGAAATGCCATATAATTTTCATATTTGGCAGAATTCAAGAGCACTAAAATGAGAGTAGGTCATATGTGTAATTTTTTTCTAAGTGTCCTTGCATTTCTGTTTAATTCGCTGCATTGATTTGTCGGGCCAAACAAAATTCACCATTTTTTCGGAGAATTACTTGTCGATAGGAACATAGTTCACCAGGCCCATCCGGACTTTTGAAAAACAAGCATTACTGCCGGAAGCAGAACACCAGCACCGAAGAGCGACAAATCATTAAGTTATTCTAATATATATAAAATAGACAAACTCATTTTTGCACTTAACTAAATTTTCTTGCATTTTCTCAAAAATTTTACAAAAAAAGCAAAAAAAGCTTTAAAATGGTCATTACTTTAATAAAATATATAGCAATGCACGCTATAAAAATTATTTTTTCATTAGTAAGAAAATTATTGTAATTTTAGAATTTGTAAGGAAAAATGAAAGATTTATTATTTGGTAAAAAATAATAGGTAAAGACAATAATTTGAAGAAAATTGCAAGAAAATGAGAAATATAACGAAAAATTTTGCGCAAAACAGGCGAAACATACACGAAACTGCGTAAAAATTTCGGCAGCTGTTCGGAAGGCACTTTGCAAAACCGAATTCGTCAATTCTTTATTATTTCCCTTATCGTTCACTCTCTCCACATTTTTCAAATATTTAATAAAATTTTTTCTTCTCTAACAAATATGAAAAAAAAGCGAAAACTAGAAACTTGCAAAAATTGATCGCGCAATTTTCTCAACGTATCACTTTAACTCTTTTTTTTCCATTTTTCATGAAGTTTAATTTGATAAAAGGTAGGAAAAACGGGGCGATTTATGTGATTTTCCTATTTCAATCGTTCAAGAGAGAAATTTTCCAAGCAAAGTGACGCGACGCACTTTGAAAGCTGTGATAATTGTCAAGCAATTAATTGGAGATGGATTGGATTTCAATAAATGAACGCTGTTAGGAAATTAAAAATTTTTCTGTTATTCGTCGTACTTTTATTTTTCCCGGTGAAATTCCATGTTTGAATTGGCTTTTTAATATTTATATTCGGAAATTAGCAATATAAAACGGTACGATCACTAAATTTTTTTCTTTGCACTGTATTTTGCCTTCTAAATTATTTTTCTTCATTAGACATTTATTGCATTGGTTGATTAAAAACATCTTTTTTTTACAATTTTTGATTTCACCCTTTGTTCATTTCTAAATGATGCCAGAATCACTTCAATAATTTTTTCAATTTTCATTATTCTTGTTTTAAGGCCATTAATAATTCGTTTCCAATGATGAAGTGTATTCAATAACAGTAATGATAATGTTTAATAATTTTTTGAATGTGCTGGCGACTCAGCTGTACGGCCATCGCCAAGTGCATCACTGATAAAATTTATCTGATCCGACAAGTCCGCGAAATGATTTATGGTGAATGGTCTTTAAAAAAATTTGTGGATATGATTTGTACAGCGATAAAATGGTTAAGATACGAAGATAAATTTAGCGATTTTCATCAAATTTTCGAAAAATTTGCGCATTTTTTCTGCGTTCTGTTGCATTATATATATTTTCTACTTCTTCTCTTAACTTCTATTAACTTCGGTTGTATCAAAATAGAAAAAGGCAGATAGGTGGTTCCTGTACCATCTCTCCATTTCATCCTTAGTGGTAATTTTATTCTATTAGAGGAGATGAATTGAGACAAGGAGAAAATAGTAAAAAAATATAAAATGCTCAAGGCTGTTTAAGAGGAATTCGGATTATTTTATTTTTAATGGATATGGAACATTTTTATCAACTTTATCAACTTTTATCAACTTTGTCCTTTTCGTTTCAATTATTTTCGTATAAGCGTCGATATCGCATTTTGAAGTAACTTGATTAATAGATGGGTAATAATATCGTAACAAAGCGTCTACGCCATGCTCTTAGTTGTCCACTGCAAAAATAGACACATATTTGGCTATTCGCTAATCTTTGTGAGTAATGGCGTTAAAAGGGGAAGACAAATCAAGATTTGGACCAATGCAGTCAGGAGAGACGTATAGACAACCCAGTGATCTATGGATTTAGACGGAAAAAAAATACTCAGGAATAGCATCAGGCTGAGCGGTTTGCCTATTTTTGCCTTTTTACATAGCGAGTTCTATTTAAATTCTATTTCCCGTATGGAATAAACCTGTCCAAGAATCAGGGTGATTCTGGTGACTCTTCTGTATTTCTATTACCAAAGAGCTCTCTGGCATATTTATCTCGTGCGTCAAGCCAGCGGCGCGGTAATGATACGAGTTGTTAGAAGAGGTGTTGAATACTCGTGTTACCTAAGTATAACTTTCTTCTCTAATTTTCTTCTAGCAGTTTGCACCATTATTCTCTAAGCTGACCATGAGCATTTTCAAGCTTCATGACCGGATGCCATGCTTCAGAGTGGCCTACTAGCTTACATTATTGCTGATTTGGCTTTTTTTAATAATTTTTTCTATCAGATTTCCAAGTCTCCCAATCCGGTGGTAGCCACTTCCTTTTGCAAAATCTAAACTTACATATCGCTGAGCTGTTTCTGTTTATATGCTTAAAATCTCTAATCAGTTCACCAACCCTCTTTTGAAACCACAGGGTATAGGAAATAGCGAGATTCGGTTCAATTTTTGTGATTTGTAAAACCTGTCTAACCAGCATAGACGACGCATTGAAACGATATTATTAACGCAGATGGTGTTCGAAAGCGGATCATATGAAAAGCTTTCGGTGAAATGACGTACCTTAGTCAAGAATAAGCAATAAATAATAAAAGTTAGGTAAATATTTAAAATTTTCCATTCTTCCAATCTTCCACTGTTTAGCAGAATAATACAGTTCACTTCAAATAAATAGACGCCTTTGTTTTTTATCATGAAATTTTCGGATGTATTAGAAAAAAAGACCATTGAAAATTCATGTGATCCTTTCAAATAAAGTTTCATACATTGAATTAATCGCTGGCAAAAGAGGATCAAAAATTGATTTCAAAGCGCTTGAAACTTTTCTAATATTAATCAACTAGATTTGTCTGATTTGCCTTAAATAAGTCTTTTTGCGCCATATAAAGGAGATTTTTTGAAATTTACACAAAATTTAAAAGTTTTTGAAATTTGTAAACAGTAAAAATTAAGGATAAACTAACAATTTTTATGTAAGTATTTTATCTATTGAAATGGTAAAAAAATTTTGCAAGGAAGTTTTTTTAGAAATAAATCTATCGATCGAAATATCGGATTTTTAATTAAAAATAAATTTTTTTCAAAAAAATGCCTTTATTTTAAAAAAATATTCGCATTTTGCAGATGAAATTTTTGCTAATATATTTATTTATTTTGCCTTCTTCAACACAAGCAGAATTGTTCACTTCGATTGCCCATCTCAAATCACTTATCGATGTACATAAAGAAATTCCCGAAATTATCGAAAGTTATATTAAAATTGAAGAAAATCGATTGCAAACTTTGCAAAGGTTTTTTCTATTCGAAATATTTATTAATATTTTATTTTATTTATTACAAGTTACTCGTCAAAATTTTTTTTCAATATTTTCATGTTATGTTTTTTGTTTCGAAACATTTGGAAAATTCTTAATTCGAAATATATTTCAATGCGCTTTTCTTATTTTAAACTATTCTTACTTTTCATTTACCCTTCTCATATATTTTTTCCACTCTTTAGTATATTTTATATTTTATTTGGAAAATTTCATTGGCTTTATCTCGAAAAAAGTGAAGAGGCTTTTAGATTAGGCAAGCTCTGCGTGTAATTTTGCTCGGGAAGCGATAGAGGTCGTCAGCGCCATTTGAATTTTTCAAAAGATTGGCCCATTCTGCATGCTTAGAGCCTTGGCTGCCAAAAAGAGCGACAACTAATATTAAATTCGCTTTTTTTTAATTTTTTCATGAGCAAACGAGAAATTTTTGCAAAATTTTGCACCGACAGCAAATAGAAAGAGCTGTTTTTTAACCAAATTTCCGTTGATAGATGTAATATTTCGAAGAAATTATGTTGAAGCTCGAATTAGATTAAATCGAAATCTTTCTATTTTGTCGATATATTGACGAGGAATTGCTAACTTATTTTCAGGTTAATTGAAAGTCATCGAAATAAAAATAAACAAATGTCATCGGATGGTACAAATTCTTTGAGGAATCCTATCAGGGCGTTTTCGCTTATAAAGCATCTCGTTTCGGATTGGAGTGTTATCGAAAACTTAATGAAACAAAATGTCGCCGATGAATTTTTAAGAAACTTAGCTGAGAGTCGCATGAAGCAACAAATTAAGCATCCGACAGATGTATATTTATTTTTTATTCAATATTTATGTTTTCAATGAAGAATAATCCGAAAATTATTTGTTTAATCTTCATCGTCGTTAGCGATTTTTAGTTGCTTTGTTTCATCTTTTATAATTCTTTTCCTCAGTTTTTCTCATTTCTTTGCACTATACTGATTATTCATTTTTGATTTTTGATGCGGAAATTCCAAATTTCCAAATTTTCGTAGACTAAAGAAATATTCTAAAATTTCATTCTTTCCGTAAAATACTAGCGAGAATGGATGTTGGAAAGGATAGAACAGAACACTGGTCGCATCGCCAAAAAAACGAATTCGGTCGAAATTTAGATATTTTGGGTTTAGAATTTTTTACCCTCTCAGAGAGAAATTCGAAATTGCGAAAAACGTGATGGACCAAATTTCAAATTTTACTAATTTTATTTTAATTTTTTCGAATTTTCAGGAAGATCTCTCAGGCGCTGCAGCGGCCATATTTCGCCTTCAAGATGTATATAGGCTTAGTACGAAGGACTTAGCAAACGGAAAAATTTACAACATTGATTCCAATCAAACTTTATCAGGTTAGCGCTGATAATTTAAATGCATTTCCCTCGCAATGCTGATTCATTTTTATAATTCAATTTAGCCCAAATTTTTGTTCGTTTAAGCTTTGGCTTTATTTTATTGCTGGATTTTTATATAGCAAAGGACTGTTTCTTGATTGGACGTGCTGCATATGTAGCTGAAGATTATTACCACACAGTTTTATGGATGCAAGAAGCATATGACAAGATTAAGAAAGAAAATGATCCATCGCATGAAGATCTCCAAGATATCATCGAACATCTTTCATTTTCACTTTTTAAACAAGGGAACGTAAAGCGTGCTCTACTGCTAGCTGAGGAACTATTGGAAACAGGTTGCTGATTGGTTATAGCTTTTAACTACTTTTCATTCAGGAAAGCATTCAACAAGCATTCAAGCGATTCAACAAATTCGATGGAGCTATTTTTAACTTTTAACTTTTAGCACCGAATCATCAACGAGCAGCATCGAACATCAAATGGTACGAGAATACTCTGAGGGAAGAAGGTTTCAAACCGAATGAATTCAGGAGGAATATTCCTCCTGTAGTGAATCGGCGTGAAGACGATTTAGTTGAAAGTAATAAAGAACGAGATATTTACGAGGCTCTCTGCAGAAATGAAGTCCCAGTTGTTCGTTTTTGGTTTTGTTTTTAATACAACTCCTAGCAGAAATAAATGTTTTATAAGATATTAAAATTCCTAGTTGATAAAACTTCCAATTTAGAACCTTTTTCAATTCTCCTAATATTATTATTTTTCCTACAATTATTAGAAAATAATACTACTTTATTTATATTCGACCATTTCGGTTTTATGTTATCAATTTATGATTGGTTTTTCGATTTTCTGAGATCTTTTATCACTCTTCTGAACCAGAAGAGATATTTCGAATATTAAAAATCTTAAAAATTTCTTTTAAGAGCATTAAAGAATTATCAAAACTCTATTGTTACTACAAACAAGATCGGCCTTACTTACTGCTCGCTCCATTTAAAGTTGAAATAATGAGGTTTAATCCGCTAGCAGTTATCTTTCGAAATGTGATATCAGATGAAGAAATTGATATAATTCAGGAAATGGCTCAACCACTGGTCAGCTTTTCGAAAAATTTTCCTCTGAGGATGCAAAAAAATCATCGTCATTGTTGCTAAAATTCTTAAGAATTAAGATAAAGAGAATATATGCGATAAATAATTAGTATTTTCTCGTATATTCCTAAATTTTAAAAACATTTTTATAGCTGAAAAGGGCAACGGTCCAAAATTCTGTAACTGGCCAGCTGGAAACGGCTTCCTACCGCATAAGTAAGAGGTCCGTTTTTTTCAAATAGATTTTTTAATTTTATGAAAAAAACTGAATGAAAACTTATAAATCTTGTGGTGAAGTACAAAATTTTAGCACATGGCTGAAAAGTAGTGATCATGAAGTAGTGGAGCGAATAAATCGAAGAACTGATTTTATGACAAATTTAGAACAAGAAACAGCAGAAGAACTTCAAGTATACATTTTTTTCTTCTGGTCCTTTATTATTATCTTAACAGAGCATAGCGAACGGATGAATTTCTCCAAACGAATCTTTCTTTTTCTTTTTGTGCCTTCCATCTTTCAGATTGCGAATTATGGTCTTGGCGGACACTACGATCCACATTTCGATTTTGCTCGAGTATGCCATATTATAATTTTGCAAGATTTCCGAAAATGAAAAACTATTCTATTTTCCACGATTTTGCAAAAGCTTGAAAAAAGATTGGAAAAATTCTTCATTTCTTTCTATATTTTTGCTTATTATTTTTGATGGTATAAGAAATTCGTTTGTGGTGGAATAATGAATAAATTAATGCTAAATTTCTAATAATTTTTTTTAAAGAAAGAGGAAACTCGGTCTTTCGAAACACTCGGCACAGGCAATCGTATCGCAACTGTGCTCTTCTATGTTGGTTTTTTTGCAAATTTAACCAAATAAAAGGACAAGAAAGATTATCCTGAGAGTTGCTCTGCAAATGCATAAAATCATGAAATAATCATAAATTCGTAAAAGAAAAAGAAAAAAAGTCTATCAGTTTGCTAAATATCATTTATTAATTTATAATAAATTTAGTTTTTTTTGTAATAAATTTAGTACTTCTGTTCACATTTATTGTTTTCATTAAGATGAGTGAACCAGAGATCGGTGGTGCGACTGTTTTTACTTCACTCAGGACTACAGTTTTGCCTTCAAAGGTAGGTGAGATCATTTTTTTAAAAGAATCCTCACCATTAATGGTTAAACTCGCTTCGCTGGCTTGTTGCACTGGACAAATATCCCAGGGATTAAAGCACAGGTGAATTGCTAGCATCACCCGGATTTTTTGGAGTTTACTCCTACAGGAAATAAAGCCTCACCATCGGCATTTAGAATTGAGCAACAGCCCACTGAGCCATTCTATTCCCAAGTGATATCATATGACTAAATGGTACTCACAAGTGTTTTAAAGCACATCTGATTGAAAAATATTTCATGTATTTTCATTCATTTTTATTGACAATTTTTTCCACTGACATTCTATTCGGGAACGGGCCCTTTAAAAAAATAATTTTGCCAAATTCTTCAGAATGATGCTTTATTTTGGTACAATTTGATACGAAGTGGCGAAGGTGATCTTAGAACTCGACACGCAGCATGTCCGGTGCTTGTTGGTGATAAATGGGTTGCAAATAAGTGGATCCATGAAGCTGGCCAAGAATTTCGCAGGCCGTGTGGCTTACGAACCTTTGATCAAGAGAAGTATGTTGGTGATCTTGGTGGTCCTGAACCGGAAAACCACGCAAATATTAGTCCTTTCTAATCTTGTTTTTAAATTATAGTCTTTCTTTTCTTATTTAACATTATATCCATATACTTAGCCTTAATTTTATTTTATTTTGTTTCTCCTAGGCTGGTGCTGAATTTTTTACTCGTTTGAAAAAATGGACTGATTTATTCTCCTATAATTTCAATATTTTCTTCTATATTCTCAATTTTCTCAAACTTTAAATTTCGTAAATCCTGTATGAATCCTCTTGTACGAATAATATTAGTTGTTCCCAAAGCATAATTTTAATTATTTATTATCATTTTTAAATTTTTTATTTTTTTCACGGATATTATTTATTATTTAATTTGCCATCTCATTTTCATATACAACGTGTTTGCAAGGATTTATTTTTTAAGTTTCACAATTATTTTATGAGAAAATATAGGAATCAAATTTAAAAATCTTTATGATCGCAGTACTGAAATCCTTCGAATTCTCAAATAAAATTTAATTTTAGAATTTTAATTTTAATCTTATTTTTAATTTAATTTTACTTTTAAAAAATCCAATTTTAAGATACTAAGATATTTAATTTTCTTGTTAATAGCTGATAGAATTCAACGAAATTTTTATAAAATGAAAATGAAACTTGCTTCTGTCAGTAATACAAATCCATGACTTCAATAATCCATGATATTTAAGCTTAGTCGTGCCAATAATTGGCTTGCATAATGTGTGACCGACATCAAGTTGGAGGGCTTATTGCAATTTAGCATTAATCTCTTTAGCACTATGTTTTTTAGTGGTTATAACACTCCGTGCAAAGCTGTACCAAATTATTTAATTAAATCAGAATGGACAATTTTAGTACTTCAGCAGAGTCTTCCGAAATGAATCTTCCGAATGAGTTAAGTGATAAGTGATGGCTTTTCGCATATTTATCTCATCGCGTAGAAATAAAATCTAAAATAAAATCAGTTGCACATCTTTCACTGATTCATTGACTCTTGAAAAATCCTAATCTGAAAGACTGGAATGCTATAATGCTATAAAATACTTTCTAAATAATTTATGAAGTCTTCAATGAAAATATAGCTAAAAAATATAAATGTGTAATATGTAACATATAAAATATGTTTTGTAATGTGTAACATATAAAATATGTTTTTGTAAAAAAATAGTAGGGTTGATTTGATTTGATCAATATTTTTTAAAGAGCACTCACCATTGCTGGTTAAACTCGGTGCACTGGCTTGTCGAATCAGATAAATGAGCCAGCATGTTCCATGGCAGTAGAAGTACAGGTAACCAGGACGATTTTAGAATTAAAATTATTATTTAAGTACCATAGACTTCTATTTGTTTTAAAAGGTTTAAAATTTTCTTTTTCCTCTTTATAATGCTCTGTTCGTAATTTTTAAAATTGATTTCATAATAAAAGATTGTTTTGGCAAAAAGGAGAACAAAAAATAAAATGATAAAGATTAGTAATAGCAAAAAATTTAAAATAACACAAAAATGGACTTAAGAAAAACGAAAGAAATGAAAATTTTAAAAATAAGTCTTCAATATTAAAAGAATTATATATAAATCAAGGGAATTTACTGATTAAGATTTCTGAATATTTGCTGTAACTTAGGATTCCTTGACTGGAATGCAATGAATGGAATATGATTTTCCAATGAACTGGATTGAGAGTGGGCTTGAAATAGATTGGTCAAATTACCATTTCAAAAGGTGGTAAACTGCATTTGAGTCATTTATTTCCCAAATAAATTTTAAATTAAAAAGGCTACCTTTTATGATTGTCTAATCACCTAAACCAACTGCGATTGAGAGTGACCGATGCATATATGCAAAGAAGTAATAGACCGTATGTTGATATGTACTGAGATTGAAAATTGGTTAGCAGCTGTGGACTGATACTCGCCTATCACGACTCATAACGACGTTCCAAGCTGTTAACACCTGCTGCGCACGCAGAGAGCCATTTTACTTTACAGGTTTCGATTGGTTCAAGAGCATATCTTATTCTCTTGTCTTGGGATCGCTCAGATTGCAAGCCTATTACACGGGGCATCATATGCTTTAAGATCAGACATCAGAGAGCTACTTTGGGAAGAGTTACTGGTGCGACCCCAGCAGCGATTCGATCGATCTCCTCGATTATATCTCGACAATTTATTCAATGTTTTCTTTATTACTTAGCTCCTTATATATTTTTTCTGAAATTTTTTTTTGCATAAATTTTAAGTCAAAACTTGTCCTTATTGCAAATGAACTGTCGCTGTCGTTAAACATTAAAATTTTGCACATTGCACACGAACTTGCGTATTGCGATACAACAACTGTAGCGACGGAAATATTGTTCACACAGTGCTTACTGATTTTATAATTTTCCTTAATTATAATCTTTGAAATCTAAAATAATGTTGGATCAATCCGAAAACGAGAAACTGGAAATCCCTCCAAAGATGTTCATGTTTCCAGAAACACATCGAAAAGCTTAATTAATTTCTCTTTCTAGATTTAAACAAATTTTTTTTAATGGATGCCTTTTCTTAAATAACAATTAATGAGCTAAAAGGAGGAGAGAAATGTTTTTTCATTAATTTGCTTCTATTATCCCTTTCCAGTCGATTTGCTGGCAAGGAAGGCCAAGACTGCTTCCACCCCTCTTCCCCTCCTCCACTCTATGCACCACAAGAATTCCTCGTTTCAATTCCGCTCAATCATATCAATGGAATATCACCATGATCGGAGATATCATTCTGTTTTTCTTTATTCTTTTGCATTAGCGTATTTTTTATGGCTTTGTCGTTTTTGGTTTATCTCAGAAGTAGAAAAAGTGTAGTGATTAGGATTAGATTATTTTTAAAAATAGTATAAAATAAACGATAGAAAAAAATTATAGAAAAAATAAAATACATAAACTATTTATGAAAAATTATTTAAAAAAATCATTTAGTAAAAAAATTTCACGCGTATATATTTCGTTTGTACTAAAAAGATTTTGCTTTAACCTGGAACGTATGTACCTTAGATTAGCGTATTATATAATGGAAAAATAGATTTAGCACTGAAGATAGATTGAAATGCGCTGATCCTTTTTTCTTCGGATCTTCGAATAGCCAAAAAAATCTAAGTACCATGTAGATTTTGATGGTTATAAAATGCATAAAGTAAAAAGAAATAAAAAGAGGAAAAATGTTTTTTATCGTTTTATTTCTTGAACGAATGAAAATATTACCAAAGTCTTTTTTCTATTATTTATTTTTTATTTATTGAATAAGATATAATGGATTTAAATAGAAAAAAAACAAAATTTTCACTTGAAAACCGAAGGAAATATTTTTCAACTAACATTATTAGTTAAAAAAATATTTCTAATATTAATATATTCTAATATTAATATATTAATATTAATATATTCATAATATATTTATATTTATATTAATATAATTTTTAATTTCGAATTCAATATGCAGGAAAATTTCTTGCCTAAAACCCATTCTGTCGATATTCATTACAGGTTTTAAAGATCGTATATTCTTCATATTTTATTTTGCTATTCTTCATGATCGATCTTATTTTTGCAAAAAAAATTTAAATGGTTCAAAATTGCCATTAATTTGTGGGAATTACGGGAAAAAACTAATAAATGTTGTAAAAATATTAGTAAAAATTTTGTAAAAAATTTTAGTAAAAGATAAAAGCATTTTAAAATAAATAAAAATATTTAAATTTAAAATATTTAAAAAAATATGTGAATTTCTTTTGAAATTTCCTCTGAAAAACTACTGAAATTATTTGCTCAAAAAATGCGGAAAAAATCGGATAATTTCAGCGAAATTTGTTCTAAAAGCTGAGTAAATTAACACTACGGAATTTTTATCAAATTATTTTTGCTGTCGTTTTTATCAATTTGTTTGTGGCTGTCTGCAATAACGATTTTCTTCTCAGATTTATTTTCCTCAGTTTTTCCTCAGTTTATTTAATTAAAGTAATTATTGTACATTGCATGGTTCACTTCCAAAAATTTTCGTTTTTCCAAGATTATGAATACATGGACTTTAATAAATCATTAGGATCTCTGATTAACTATGAAAGATGAAAAATTTTAAGAAATATTTCAATGATTTTAGCTCATGTTTGGTGATTAAAGCAAAATTCTCTTTTTCACCCTATATATTCATCTAAGCAATCGCATAAGGCTAAGCATCTCGATTTATCCTCATAATGCCCAAAATGAAAATTAGAACTTGGCGCAAATTTCTGTCAACGAGCAGAATGCTCAGCTGAGGCCTGTGTGCTCCTATTATCATTTCTAACACTTCATATACTTCCAGGATTTGAAATCTTTGAAGAAGACCAGCAATCAAAATAATTCATATCGTCTTTGAAAGAGCATCAAAAATCGACGTTTATAGAACTTAGCGTCACGCCAAATCTCAAATGCTGATAATCCTGCAAGCATTCAAGTTAATTGTCAAAACTCCTCGTCGATCTGAATTTTATCTCTCTACTTTTTCTCCTCTCAAGAATATTTGTCAAACTGCAGATAAAAAAAGCGTGAACCTAAAAATATTATTGCAGGAAATCGATGAAATCCAATCTAAACACCGTTCAGATATGTGTAAGTAGGATTTTGAATCCACCTGTTTGAAATGGCGACGAAGGCCCTCAGGATTGAACTTTTATATGTTTCGTGGACGCCACAATTCAGAGAGATCGAAAGAGTTATGTCGGTTTGGCATTTTGCGATAGATTTAACCGACTTTTGGAAGGAAGCTAACACCCATTAGCTGAATCGGAAATACCACTGTTGTTAAAGCACCTTCATTTAAGACCCTCATTTAAAATGAGATCGCACTATCAAATCTTTTAAGTTAGAGGCATCATGCTACTGATATTATCGAACTTGCATGCAAAGTGAATATGCTACCCTCTCAAGAATAAAATTTCACACAGCCAAAGTTGATCAAAGAGTTTTTCGAATATTGGATTTTTGTGGATACCGCGAATTCAGTTCGTCCTATGTTTTCAATTCCTTTAATATTAACAAATCTTTACGAGATATAATTATTGCACTGTATTTCGCAACTATTCTAGTCTAGAATTGCGAAGATAGGCAAACGATATTCATTTAAGCGGAATTCCACTATCTTATACTTACATGAAAATAAGGATTTTATCCAGCAGGCCTTACTTCTCAAATTAAATCCCAAAAATCCGAAAATTAGCGCCAGTTTAGGTATATTTACTTTTGCGTAGAAATTGTTGACAGAGGTATTTTTATTCTTCGTTTTATGCTTTTATTCAGCCAATAATAGTTTTTTCCTCACATTCAAAATCAATAGACCTCTTTCTTTTGTTTTTGAATAAATTTTTCAGTAAGAAAATTAATAAGAAAATTTTTGCGCGAATAGTTTTTAAAATAAATAAAATTATAAATAAAATTATTTATAAAATTTTTTAAAATTGTAAAATTCGCATTCAATTTAAATTCGCATCATTTTTACCTCAGTTTTTTTCAATAAAAAAATTTAAGACAATTCAAATAAAATTTTTTTTAGGAATTTTTTTTAAAATTTTCGTTTTTCTTCATTAAAATTTCGCGAGAACGTTGATAAACACTTTTATTTCACCACTAGCAATGCTTATTTGCGTGGCACTAATTTCACTTAAAAAATTTTAATTTTAATTCCTTTATTTTCTTTAAATGCATTCAATTCAGCTGTTCATTCATATTAATTAATTTATATTAATTTAAAAAAGCATAAAAATTTTTCATTCATTTGTTTATTCATACCGTTATTCATTTATTCATTTACCATAATCCGTCTATCAGAATTTGCCATCGGAATTTCGTGCTTTTCTTTTTTTATTTGCTTAGCCTGCAATAAAATTTTTAGAACATTGTGCACTTTATTCCATTGATTAAAACTAGAAAATCCTATTTTCTTAAATGGAAGCACCAATAGCAAATAGCGGATAATTGTAATATGAAAGGGATAACTCAAATGAACAAAATTGCCATAGAATAAATCCTGAAAATTGGTTCATGCTTCATTTAAAGCGTTAAGTAAGGAGGCGATATCTGCTGAGAATTTTTCTATATCACGGAGGACAGCTGAAAGGTGCATATTGCCTGCAATTAGTTCTTTTGTCCCAGCAATCAATTGGGGAAATGGTAGTTGCATTTGAACCTGTAATTTGATTGAGTTAATTAATTTCTATTAGCCTATAGAACATTCATATATTCCCAAGTGATTAGCTAGGAAAAATTTCAAGGGCAATTTAAATCAATCCTTTGGTATAGACGCAAGCTTTTGACCATTTTATTTAATTTATTGAAAACCAGCCAAGCAGGGCGACAACGTCATGTGCTTGTATTAATAACAACAGTTAAAATAATAAATAATAAAAGTTAATAATAAGAAAAAAAATAAAATATGAACGAAAATCAACAATTTAGAGAGGAAATAAAGAGGAAATTACAGAATAATATAATATAGTACAATTCGAAGTAACTATATTGTATATAATCGGGATTAAATGTAAAAATCGAGATTTCATACTTCCTGCATGATGTGAGCTTTTTAAATAATATCATGAATGATATTATCTAATCCATGCTGATAAGAGGATATAAAATTATTGGCATCAAGATAAGTAACCAATTTTTTGCAAATCAATCTTTCCAGAACCAACGCATGGGTCATAGGTGCTTCTTTTTTATGAATGGGTATTATATGAGACAATTTCCAAATTTTGAGATTAAGACAAGACTTAATATCTTTATAAATTATTTGTTTACGTCGATTTGCAAATTTTTTTAAAATGTAAATCCAGAAAGAATCTCTATTAATATTTAAAATCTTCTTTATTTGAAAAGTAATTATGAATGGCGCTACGTAAGATTTTAAACATTCTTTATAGGGGTCATTTGGTAATTTGGTTAATTTAAAAGAAGATTTAGATACTCACGGTGAGTTACAAAATCCAGTTGTCCATAAACTGCATTAACCGCTGCATCTGAAATGCCAATTTGCAAACTAATATTCTTTGCTTTTGAATATAAATTGATGTAGATTTTAACTAGATTATTTCATAAAGAGTTCGCTAATTGTTGTTCAAACAGAAAACCAGACATGCAAATTTTTAATCATCCGACCACTAAATTCAGCCGTATATATAATTTTTTTTTTAAGAATCCTCATCAATACTGGTTAAACCTGTTCGTCGCACTGGACAAATATACTAAGGAGTCCTTTAGCGATAGAAATAAAGGTGAATCAGCATCACCAGGATTTTTGGACGGGTTTAATCCTGAAAGGAATAGAACCTCAGCATCGGTGCTCAGAATTGAGCAACAACCCAGTCAGCCATCCTATACTCCTAAAACAATTATAATTTACCACATTTAAATCACAGTTGTAAGAAAACATCTAATAAAACTAGCAAACATTTGTCATTCTTGTTGTATCTTTTCTCTGCGTCAATAGTTCATTTTTTTCGTAAATTATGTTGTGCTTCCCTAGAAGAATAAAAGCAATACATTATTCACCTTATTGCATTCATAGCAATATTCTTTAAAAATATATAATTTACTAATTTAGTACACACCTATTAGCATGGATTTTGTATGAAGAAATCTACAAATATTGGCAAACTTTTTTGATTGGTCACCATCAGTTGATAATGGAAAAACAATATTAATTAGATTCAGCCAAAGCATTTGATACTGTTTCCCATAGAAAATTTTTGGTCATCCTAATAGTTGGGATATTACAGGGGGCTTGTATAATTGGGTTGCATAAAAGATGGTCAAGCTGTAAGTGTCAACATTCTGCCACCTGATAAATCTGCCATTCTTCAAGGTAGGTGGTATTGCGTCATTGCCTTTTTTTGTTATATATCAATGGTATCACCAAAGTGCTATTAAGCTCTACCATTTATCTGTATGCTGATTGTAAAATTTTATTATTCTCATGGTAGACCCTGTACTCACTAAAGGATAATCAATAGATATATAGCCAAATGGCTATATAAAAATTATACTTTTCTTTTCAAAATTCGAATTTCACTTATTTCACCGTTTCACTTATAAATTCAAAAGGATTCGATCTTCTTAATTTTTTTATTGATGATAACGCAATCGGGGTTTCATAAATTTTCATTCTTGGCGTAATCATGGATGAAAATCTTAACTTCGACCTTCATTGCCCAACCATAGTAAAGAATACTACCTCAAAAATACTAAATTTATTTTTTCACTCTTTAAGAACAGAAATAAATGTTTTCTTATCAAAATGCACAAAGTTGGTTCAGCCTCTTCTTTTCTCCTTGACTACCTGCTGTTCTCCGAGATAACGCAAATCAAGTAAAATAATTGTAAGACTCTAAGAATATTTTACGAAGCCTTTCTCCTAATGTCATTTTTAATTATAAAACATAACTTCAGCTATACAACCTGGAATTCCTCTCAATTTGTCGAATTAAGCAAGAATTTATATATATAAAACCTATATGGTTAAACTATATCGTTCAAAATATTGCAATTTCAGGTTAAATTTGAACCCAACAACTTCTTATGGGCTAAAATTATTAAAACCTATATGCAGAACTAAACTAAGGACTCATGACTTCTTTATGTGTACTATTAATTATTGGAATAAACTACCGAATGTAATTTGTGCACCATCCTTAGCAGTTTTTAAAAAAAGATTAGACAATATCATATAATGCTTAAAAAAATTAGGTCATGGAAGAAGTTTGAAATCTTGATTTTTGCCATTCGATTATATATATATAAATAATATAATGATAATGATAATAATAATGATACAATCACTTCGAATTGTATTTTGTAACACCTCTTTATTTCCTCTTTACTTTATTAACTTTATCATATTTTCTTTTTTATCATTAATTTTCATTATTTGTTATTTTAACCGTCATTAATATAAGCACACAGGGCTTGCCGCTCTGCTTGATTGGTTTTCAATAAATTAGATTAATCCAAAACTAGTAAATCTAATAAAACAAATTTTGAGCTAGCAAATCAAATTCAAATTTCGCAGAAAAACTTCTGAAATAATAAAAATATAGATTTATTTTAGCCTCATTCTACGAATATTTATCGATATGGAAGGAATTTGCTCAAATAAATTAAGTCTTATATGATATGAATATATATTACAAATGCCATTTACAAATGAGCAACTAATTATTAACAATGAAGTTTTTCGAATGTCATTAGAGTTTTATGTTGAATTATGTTTCTCGATTTGCCAGAATTTTTCATCGATTAAGAAAAAGTTGTATAAGAAAAGAGAAAATGAAAATTTTGAATTGGTCATTTATTGTTTCTGGATAACTATTTATTTTTTATAATTAAGGAACAATTCGAAGTCAATAATTTTTTCCTCGAATTGCTGCAAAAAAGTACGTTTTATTTGCAAAAAACTTTGCCAAAGGTCAGCGACAATCTTCCATTTTAATGACATTTGCCTTAAAAACTCAGACTTGTGGAAAAAAATTTTCGGAAGAAACTTCTATAATCCAGCGTTGGAATAGAAAGAACGAGAGAGCTTAAGGAGCTTTTTTTTTTAAATCGAGAAGATCTATATTGATGCGAACTAAAAAAATCAAGTAAACTGATCGAACAGATGACTTATGACTTAGATTCGCATGATTTTTTTATTATTGCAGCAAAGATCAATTAATTAGCCACAAAATAATTCCCTTTACATGCAGAATAATATTGAACGAATACGAAGGCATTGAAAAAAGCAAACGGAAAAATTATGATGAAACGAGCGATAATAAACGTGTAGATAGATGTATTATGGTAGAATTAACAAAGAATGAAATGAGAATGAAGCAAGATTCAGGATTTTCGTGCAAAATTAGATAAATCGAGGGGGTGAAATTGTTAAGAACGAATATTAGAATGGTCCTTCGGAACTGGTCCTCCAAGGTCACCAACGAACGCTTCTTGATCAGTCTCTTTTAAACCACATGGTCTGAGAAATTCCTGACCAGCTTCATGGATCCATTTATTTGCTATCCATTTAATGCCTACGAGTACCGGACAAGCTGCATGGTGAGTTCTATGATCTCCTTCACCACTACGTACTAAATTATACCAAAATAATGCACCATTCTGAAAAACATGGAATTTTTATGCTGAGGCTCCATCATAAATGAAAAAAGATGAAAAAAATTAAAAATTTTGATAAAAAGGCATTATACTTTCGAAGGCAGAACTGTTGTTTTAATCGGAATAAAAGCAGTTGCACCACCAATTTCAGGCTGACTCATCTGAACTGATTTTACATATATATATAAAGGCGAAAAATGAGGAAACCTGGGAAAACTTGCACTAAAGTTAATGTTTAGTGAACCAGGATTTATTTTATAATTTTTTCTAATTTAATTTTTATCTAATTTTTATTTTTTCTATTTTTTCTCCAAATGAGCGATGAGTTACAATAATAACTTATAATAACAATAATGACTAAAATAAATACTGTTATATTCTATTATTATAGTTTATAATTATATAATTATTATAATTTCATTTCTTAGTTAATTCTAAATTCTGAGTAAGAATTTGCATCTTACTAGATATTTAATTTCTGCCATTTTTATTCTAATTTTTACCTGAATATGAGAAAGAAATGACTTACGTAGAACAAAACAGTTGCGATGCGATTACCTTGCGGAAGTGATTCAAGGAGTGGGCTATCTTTCTATAAAAAATGATGCGTTGTTGTGAAAATTATGAACACTTTAAGCGAAAAATCTTTTATAAAATCTAAAATTTATATGTATATATACATGTATAAAATATTAATAAATAAATCAATAAATAAATAAATAAACTCTGATGCTGAAGTTTCCGCAGGGTTAAACCTGTCAAAAAGTCCGGGTGATTCTGACAACTCACCTATATTTCTATCGCCAAGGGACTCCCTGGCATATTTGTGCAGTGCGGCAAGCCAGCGGAGCGAGTTTAATCAATAATGGTGAGGACGATTAAAAGAATTAAATATATATTATCCGATAAATAATATGAAATAAATCTCGAGGAGTAGTTGATTGTTTAATAAATAAGAAAAAGTAATTTTCTTCCATTTTTATAAAAAATAAATGACCAAAAACTCTTATTTTTAGCTTCGTTTCGAAATTTATTCAATTTATTTTTTTCATATTAAAAAATAAAAGAATATTTTCATGGAATAAATAATAACCATGAAAAAATCGTAATGCACATCATAGTAGCCACCAATACCATAATTTGCGATCTAAAATGTACATGGAATAAAAAAATAAAAATTGGAATTTCAAAAATTCGTTTTTGGGAGGGAAACGATCGTTCGTGGAACATAAGTTGAAATATACTTGAAGGTCTTCGGCGAATTTTAGATCCAAATTTGTCATAAGATGAATTCTTCGATTCAGACGCTCCACTATTTCGTGCTCGTTGTTTTCCAGCCAAACACTACAAATTCTTGCTTGCTTCCCAAATCGCAAGGTTTCATACAATTTTCATAATAATGTAAAAATAGAAGTAAACAAGAAATGAGGAAACGTGTACTTCTTACTTATACGGAAAGAAGCAGGTTCCCTTCTCCGCGTTGCTGGACTCACAACTTGAGCCCTTTCAAGCTAAAAATAGTCGTTTATGAAGGCATAGGCAACATAAGTAAGAATATGATAAAACCCGTGGTTTAATGCGACATCTTTGAAATTATCATTGCTAATGCTTAAATTCTGGTCTCAGTGGGAAATATTTCAAAGTTTACCCGCGAATGAGAAACTTCTTGAATAATGCTGATTTCTTCGTTAGATATCACATCATGAAAGATAACCGCCAACGGATCAAACCTTACGATTTCAACTTTGAATGGAGCGAGCAGTAAATAAGGATGATCTTGTTTATAATAGCAGTAAAGTTTTGAAATTTCTTCATCGCCCTTAAAAAAATTTCTCAAGTTTTTACATTTAGGTTTCCCAAGAAAATCGACATCAATGTACACGGTTCAATTTCGGGAAAAGAAGGAAAAAGGTCAGTGAGGGAGATTCCGTTGCAATTTTAAAGAATTATACAACTATCGAACTGCGGTATAATAACATTTAAAAATGATTTAGTTACCCAAGTCTGAGGTTGCGACTTTATCAAGTATGGCAATTAATTTTCATTACCATTCGTTATGGGTTATTAGTTGCAACAACAATAGGAGAATAAAAATTCATTGTAGCAGCGAGCTTATCTAATTGGATTTTTGAAGGAGTCTGACCACTTCAAATGCTGAAAATGCTCAAACTGCGAGCATTGGACTCAAGCAATTTCTGTGGTTGGAAATGCCAAAAAAACAGGTACTTCATAGAATTTCCTCACAGCCTTTTTATTTTAAATTCCATAGAGCGCTAACTTCAAAAGGAATAACATACAATGGGAATTTCATTTCTGCAAAGTGCCTCGTAAATGTGCGTTGTTCTGTATCGCGTTTCGTCTTCAAAACGACGATTTTCCATCGGAGGAATATTTTCTCGGAATTCGTTCGGTTTAAAGCCCTCTTTTTTTAATGCTTCTTCGTATAACTTAATTTTTTTTGCAGTTCGTTTATGATTCGGTGCTGAAATTAAGAAAAAATTCCTTATTTCCAACTAAAATTTCCAACTAAAACTTTTTTTAACATAAGAAAGCGAGAATCTACGTAGAAAACAAAGTAGAAAACGTGTCGCAACCGATTTCCTTCAGTTGTTCGATTAGCAAGAGCGCTCGCTTGACGTTGCCTTGTTTGAAAAGTGCAAATGAAAGTTTTTCCATGATATCTTGCAGATCTTCGAAGGACGGCTCACTTTCTTTTTGGACCTTGTCATATGCTTCTTGCATCCACAAAAGTGCGTGATAATAGTCCTTGGCCCTATACGCCGCGCGTCCAATCAAGAAACAATCTCTTGCTGCAAAAAGAATTTCTCGGTAAAACTATTACAAATGAAAAATTATGAACCAAAAATATTTTTAAATTGAAAAAAATATTTTGCGCAGTTTCTTGATCGGTCATTTTCTGTTCCTCTGCTAATTTTTCTTAAGTTATTTTTGGAACTTCAAAATTTTCTACAACAATTATTACTATTATTACAATAATAATAATTTTCTATAACAATTATTTATTTTTTAACAATTATTTATTTTAATTTTCTTTAACAATTAATTCTTAATTTTTTTAAATTTTTAATAATTTTATAACAAAGAACGAAAAAAATTATCAATTAAATAAACTATAAAATTAAATTATATATTTATCTTATATATATATTTTTTGTTGTTCTTTTTAAATTCATTTTTTTTCTATGATGGAAGAGTCTTTTTGATATTGTTCTACAAATATTTCGGGTTTTGTCCGCAGCTGACCGTGATATAAATAAGTTCTATGCGCAACTTTAACTATAACAAAGTCTACATCTACACCAAAACATTTGTCATGGTCATGTTATCGGAGGATACCGGAATGCGTTTGTAATGTCGCTGCGATGAGCTCGACATTTGGCAAGGCATAGGAGAATGGTACGCCAATGGAGTACTAATACTTTTTGTTACTATTACTACTACTACTTGCTTTTGACGGCATAGAAAATATCTAGTCATGTAAAAATCCCTGGAAAATCAAGATTTCAGCCAGATTATATCTTAATTAGTCGCCACTAGAAGAATTAGATAGTTAGATAATTAGATCGATTCTACAGCGGTGGTTAAACAAGCAATTTTCATAGATCTGACCATATTATGGTCCGAGTCAACATCAAATTGATAACTCGCAATAACATATAACAAAGATAACATCCTCCAAGATATTTCAACTATGGTTAGATCTTAAACTAAAAAATTCGGGAATAGTAAGGGCATTTTAAGCCAAATCATTAAAACTCAATGGTATAAATCATCAATAATTTTTCTTGAACGGCGAATGAGTACTGGTCCAAACTAAAGGAATCTCCCCGAAAATCAATAGGAAGTGCGTTAATTGGGTACGGAAGCAACGGTGTGAAAACACTTTCAAAATCCTAAAGCATGAACTTCAGAAGATCCTGACTATCGAGTGCTTCAAAGAATTGCAACGACGGCATGAAATCGCTATTGGAGCGACATGGCCTTTAGAATGGAGATGGCGGCTCGATTAGATGATAATAGGAAGCTATTTTGCTTTCAATTATAACTCGGGGAACGATTAGTGAAATGATAAGAGACAGCAATGGTGATCCTCATAAGGTGGAAGGAATTCTTTGACGCCAAACTTAATCACGATGCGCCATCTTTGTCCCAGACATAGCTGATTCGTTCATCGAACCATATGTATTTGCGAATAACCAGCAAAAAGAAAATAACCTCTGTAATCCAGAAACTTAAAGCCAACTCCCGAAGATGGTCTTTGGGCTAAAATCTTTAAATATTGTCATATCGTCCTTCATATCACGTTCAACAAATATACTCTCTAGTATAGAAAAAAGATAGAAATAGCAGATAGCTGAAGCAAATTCTGCCCACAACTTCTAGGAAAAATGGCAAGATATATAATGACAATTGGCAGAATCTGCAAGAAGTCTGCCATCTGAGCGGCTATTCAATAATGCTGGAATATTTGCTGTTGTCAGATGCTCTTCTGAAATTAGGGAAAAAATTCTTCTTTAAGGCAAAACTTGGCTATAATTAATCACTAAAATCTTAAAAAAATCTTCCATATTTTATTTTGCAAAGAAAGAAGTATGTTCGATTTGCAATTTTTAACTTAACAGAAAAACCAAATTTACATTTTGGTACGATGGTACTATTTTGACAATTTTATACGCTGACCTGATAAATTTTGATTTGAACCAACATCGAAAATTTTCCCATTTGATAAATCTTTAGTGTTAAGTTTATATACATCTTGCAATCGAAATATAGCCGTAGCAGCGCCCGTGAGATCTTCCTGAAACGTTTTTAGACAAAGATCAAATTCATCTTTTCATAAATGAGGGTACTCCATATCTTCATTATAAAAAAGGAGAAATCTTTGTATACTGAAATATAAAATAAATATCAGGTGTTCAAATAATGATAAAGTGATAACGACAAAATTAGAAATCCTGGAAATAATTTGATTTGAATGGCTCGTAATGCCTAATAACTAAATTTTTTCATTCATATCAAAATAAAACAATTTGATAAATAAAACGAAAACAATTTGCGAATGAAGCATTTTAGCAAGAAATTTAGGTACCAAAAAAGTGTAAAAATTCTTTTCTAATTATGAGAATAATTTTTGATAAAAGAGAGTGAATAATCAAATGAAAACTTCTGTTGGATATTTAATTTTTTGCTTTATGCGTTCCTCAGCAATTCTCCTTATAAAAACTTTTGCGACATTTTGCATCATTAAATTTTCGATAATTTTCCAGTCTATCACTAAGTGTTTTATTAGCAGAAAGGCTTTGATCGGATTCCTCAAAGAATTTGCGCCTTCCGCTAATATTTGTTTGTTTTTTGTCTGATAATCTTTAATCAACCTGAAATTATAACAACTCGCCTCACGACATTCTTAAAAATACAAAAATGCTGAATTATAATCGGCTGAAATTATCGTCGACTTGCTTACGTATTATGTTTGAATTTGTTGATAGGGAGGAAGCAATTGTGGCATTTTGATATTAATGCATGGCGAAGTATATTCGAAGCAATCAGCTAGTCGAAAGAAATATTTATGCCTTTATTAATGAATAAAAGGAAATAAAGGGAACAAAAATAGTTTACTGAAATCTGTAAGAAAATTTCTTAAGCTGGAGGGACTTGGAAGAGATTTTTAAGCAATTTCTAAGCAATGCTCTGGAAATTCACGACTCGCAACATGCAAACTGCAAAATTCTCAAAAAAACCTCCGTAAAGCCTCTAATCGAATTTCTTCCATCCAAATATAGCTTTCCAATATCTCTGGAATTCTTCTGCTCGCCTTGATAAGCGATTCCACATGAGCGATAGAAGTAAATATTTCGGCCATCGATGATTGCAAAAGGAAAAAATATGGTAGAAACTTCATCTGAAAATTAATTTTTCGAAAAAATTCGACCTTAACTAGAAAATCCTAAATAAGAGATTATTGCATTGCATTGCAACATCGCAAATTTATTGAAGCTCTACATCATGTTCCCTGAAAAATTTCAATGATAGTTGCGAGAGCGACCATTTCCCATTGGCAAATATTACTCGATAGTTTGACGAGGAGTTGACATAAGGAAATATGAGATATGGGATTCCGCTAAATGGACACATATGAATGGTGTTCAAGTATGAATGGTGACAAATATGAATGGTGTTCTTTTAGGTGCGAAATAAAATTAATTATTCTTAATTAGAAATTATTTTCAAACCCTAATATTACATTTGAAATTCATTGAGATTCATTCAAAGCTCGCTATGAAAAATGCCTCTAGCATTTTTCATCGCCGTTATCCTTAGGCAACATGCTTTGACCTCCAAGTCCTATACAGTGCCTTTTGCTGATCCTTTGTGACTTGCAAAAACGCACTGAAGGATTTGCTAGAGGAAAATAATAGTTCCCTATGTTACTAGAATAGAATAAAGAAGGCAAAAGTAATGGATGATTAAAGAGATTTCAACAACAAACCATATAGCCCATGAGCCTTTATTGATTATCGATGGAAAACGGTTTTTTAGGTACCAAAAGACCATTTAATGTGATTGGCACCAATAAATTTGCATTCGCTAAGACGAGCCAATTTATGGCTTTGGTCACTTCCTTCTTTTATGTTTAACCGTGCAAAATAAGGCATTTAACCATACAATTAACAGGGAGAATAAGGGCGAATCGGAAGTTAATTTTTTACCATCAATTTTCCGCTCTATTAGTTATTTCTGCTTACCGTATTAACTCATAAAATAATCGTTCTAGTCGCTGTCTACGAAAAGGAGAAAAGCTTTTGCAGTTGAAACCGTGTGACAGTAAAAAAAAAGGTGACAACCTCTCTTCGACAAGCGATGTTCGACTTTTTACTTTCGCTTCCAATCATCATAAACAACAAAAGTTTGTTGAACGTTCATGAAAGAGATTCTAAAGCTGAGCAAACTGAACCAATATTTCTCCTTTTTTCACTTCAATTTAACCTTTCGGCTCATTTATGTATTTAGAAAAAAAAAAATATTATTTTTAAATATAAATATCACTGAAAATTTTTTTGTAGAAATTAAAATCTTAAAATTTACCTAAAACAAACTTACATTTTTAAAAAAATGCGTTTTTCCGGTTGACGAAACCTTTATGAAGCCGTCGCGAGATCACCATGAAAACAGAGTCCGTGTCTATATAGCTGCGATTCGTTTAATTTTACTATATGGCTGCAAGATGTGGTCAGTAAGAGTGGAGGATATTAAGAAGTTATCTGCCTTTGACCACTCTTGGGTACATTTTACAAGTTCTCCGAGTCGATATCAAATGATTGATCACATCCATCTTCGTTCAAAAACCACTTGTTTCAGCAGTACCATCACAGAGCACTGCCTTTGCTTGTTAAGGCACCTTCTTCGTCGTACATCCGCAAGAGTTGGTTGACATACATTTCGTTACTTATTAAATCCTGTGATGGATGGCGTCAAAAGCGAGGTGGACCAATCAAAACTTAGACCGATACGGTCAGGAAAGATTATGAAGGTATAGGCGAACCAACAATATGTGGACTTGGACGATGGAAAAGAGAGTGGCTTCTATCACTATCGACAATGGCATCAGATCGCGTAGAAACGTCTTACCCTTGTCGCCAGTGAAGAAGATTTGTCTTTTAATGCAGATAATTTAATGAGATAATTTCTATTCTTATTTTAAAAAGGTTTTTAAAATTTGATAAGGAAATTAGAATCATAATTGATAGATGTCCTGGAACTATTCAATTACTCGAAGATTCATCATCAAACTATTCATCAAACTATTTTACGGCTATTGCATGAAAGGCTTTTTTTTTCATTTAACAGTTATTTCTATAGTTTATTATTTATTTTAATTTCCAAGATAGAAAAGGAAAGAGAATTCTAAAAGTTTTAGGAAAAAAGCTCAGAATGACAAATATTTCTGAGCGGAGCTCTAATCGTTTGACAGCGCAATATGCTACGGAATGAAACCATCGAAAATTTGTTGAAACTGATTATTTGTCGGGAATTAGCTTAGAAGTGTAAAAAGTGATTAGAAAATTAGAAACTCTTCATTCCTCAAAGATAATTGCCCTATCATATTTTCAGAAACTTCGAAAAGTTAAATTAATTTCTACTTTTAGATTTTTGAAACTTTTTTTTTAATGAGTGTTTTCTCAAATAACAACTAATCAGCACAAATTCAGCGAATGGGAGATCTTTTCTCGTTAATCCCTTTTTCAGCAAAAATTTATGCAAGTAAGGAAGGCTAAAAACTTTTTTCCTATCTATAGCATCAGGTGAGTAGCGAGGATACCAGTAATACTCGGATTCTTGAAGAGTAGATTTGCCCACATTGGAAATAGAATGTCAGCACCCGCGTTTCGAATTGAGCGACAACCCAATGGGCCATTCTACAAGCCTCTGCGTTCTCCATCAGCCATCCGATGAAGCATGAAGCATGACGTGCATTCGAACTTTTTTTTCAATAACAACCCAATGTTGACAACCCAATCTTGCATTGCTATTTTATCAACTAACTGTTCATGTCATTCGACTGTTTGATTTGTTTCACCAATTTAAATGCCATTCCATTAAATTTTTTCAAATTCATATTTTCATTTCATAACCTTTTAAATCCATTAAACGCTTCATAATCAAAATTCAATTGAAGAAAACAAGAAAGTTTGAGAATATGCCAGTGATAGGTACAGATGGCAACTCTAATCTATCCTAAAATACAAGTGGATATGGAAGCCCTTGCCTTGAATAATTGGAGAACCAAAAGCATAACCAGAGAAAATTGGTTTGAAGATTAAGCATAGATTCAAGCTGCCCGCACTAAACCAGACACGATACGACAAAATCGAAGTGCTCTACTTCCAAACTGCATTGCTTACCCGTCCAGACCAAGTTCATGGATCCATTTAATCGCAATGGAAACAAGTTTTCATTTCTATGGCCATGTAATTCACATCACCTTTCTTAACATTATCAACAAGTTTTCAAGCAAATTTAATTTAAACCTGCAAATTTCAATAGGATACACCCAGTCCATTTATTTTCCTAGAATTGCAAACTTATAGAGATCTTTATTTAAAAATTTCATTGAAAGTTTTGTTAATATTTTATCAATCATTTGCAGATCAAATCAGATTATTTTCATCGTTTCCTTCTCCATTTTATTAAAAAAAAATTAGAAAATTTGCATAGAATTTGCATAGTAAAATTATGATGAAATTAACCAAGCCAAATCCTTCGACCAATCGGTTTTCATTGAAAGTTAAGCGCTTTCAAAAAATATATATATATCCAGAAAACAATGAAAGAAAGCAAAAGTTAGCGATTTTATAAGAAACAATCTAAATCGTTCTCATGAAGAGTAGAATGATCAAAATTCTCTGATGGCCATTGCAGCATAAATTAGCTTCGCCTTCGAATCCATTTGAAAGGCAAATGTGAGATACCTTTAAGAATAAAAAAAGTACAACCGCTGGAAACTTTAAAGGTAATAATTTGCTAAAAAATTTATGAAGTGAGAAAAATGGAATGAAATTAAAATTTTGACTAAGACTGGCTTGTGGAAAGCAAAGCAATTCAACCGCTCATCGTAATTTAACAAAAATTTAAAATAATCGAATTCGAATTCCTTCAGCGATTCCTCGCTCCAAATTCGTCATACGGTGAATTCTTTGGCCATATTCCATATAAGCGTTCTTGTTTGCCTCGATATGTTCAAAGGTTTCATTCGTATCAGAAAAAACAAGGTAGAAAAAAAGTTATGTGAAAAAGAAATCAATCTGCATCACTTTAAGTAAATTTCTGCGAAAAGCTTTAAATCTTACCACGCACCAGGAGTCGTAGCCTGAATTTCTGCAAATTAAAATGTATACATATATGTACAAGTGAACAAAATCCACAATTCTATTCGAAATTATCGAATATTCAATAATAATATTTTAAAAATTTTTAGAGATCCCAAATTTTCAAAATAGCAAATTCATTCAAAAAATAAAGCATTGGAAAGCATTAAAATAATTATAAAATTATCATAAGCCTACCGTCGCTATTTTTCGCTATTTTGCGACATTTGCTTGATAATCCTTTGGTGGTTCATTCAATAATGGCATTGCATCAAATTATGCGAGGAGGCCATATTGACTCAATTACCTTCTATTACAGTGTAATATTATCATAAACCTATCGTCGCTATTTTGTCGCTTAATTCCATAAATTATCCCATATCGTCGCTATTTTGTCGTCTTTATGCAAAGTTTGGTTAATAAATCCTTTGGTGATTCATTTAATAATGGCATTACACCAAATCATGTGTATCGTATATAGTTAGCTCAATTACCTTCTATTACAGTGTAATATTACCGTCGCTATTTTGTCGCTATTAAAATTGGTAATGCTATTGGTGAAATAAGTTTTTAAATTTTGATGTCATTTTCAGCCTTTCAAGTTTTCGAAGCCATTTTCATGAATTATTCTTATATGAAAATAAATAAAATTAAATTAAATGTAATAAAAGTCATTTTTTTTCGAATCAATTTAGCTGAGGAAACCGATCCACTTGTTTATAGCGGAGGCGACGCTGACCGCACCATGTTGAGACAACAATAATAACATTATAGGCTTCATTGCGCAGATAAATATATCGATCAACAAAAAGACGACGAAGTTTAGAATATTTCCCATAAAGGACACGATGCTGCTAACTCAAGACCAGATCCGATCCTTCTTCTTCTAACAGCTCTCCCATTACTCGTTCAGCTCCACTGGTTACAAGGGTAAGACTTACCGTTTCCAAACTGCGCGATCTCATGAGATTCGATCCTAATAGATCAGTGAACAGGTGATCAGTGATCAATGATCAGGTTAAGACATAGAATAAATGATAATACATTACGTACTAATCAGGTCATTTTCCACAATTCCTATATTTCAGAATCGATTTATTTGTTAACCTAAAACATCAACTGGAAATAACTGAGTGATTTTCTCTAGTGTTAAATAGGCCGAACTGAAACCACATGTTCTTATCAGTTGATTAGTTCTTACCAGTGCTTGGCTAATAGTTGGATATATCTTTTCCATTCCTCAATCCGTAAAACTCAATAACACCCGACATTTGGTCCTTCAGAAAGAAAAACTGGACCAAACCAGGCTGCACATTGCAGAAGCGATTTTTCACCCAATTGCATTTCGAAAAAAAGAATTTAAATGAAATTTTCCGTTCGAGACGCAATAATTTTTCATATAATTTGGCACAGTTCCAATTTTCTTAATTAATTTTCTTGTTTTTTTTTAAATTTTGATTTTCCAGTTGTTTTGTTTTACAATATTTTTATATTTCTTCTTTGCTAATTATTGAAATTATTTGTAAATTATCCAAGTTGGGAAATTGGGGAGTTCCGATTCTCGCGACCACTGGCCAGGTTGGTTCCACTGGCTGTAAGGCTAGAAGGCATTTATAAGGGATTTTCAAGTCATCCGATCCGATGCCATAACGGAAACGATCTCTTTCTCGCCTTTTTTTTTAGTCCAAATATTATCAAATAAAATAATTTTAATAATTTAATTTGAAATTAATTTTTATTAATTAAAAAATCTTAAATTTAATATTAATCTACGAATAATAAATGGGCAAAAATTTTTGAAATCGTTTTAAGATGAGCGTAGAGGAACTGACGCTTATCTTATTTTGCAAGCCCCGTGATGGAGGATAGATTTTCTCATAAGCAGTTCAGTGATATTTGGGCTTAGATGATTAGAAAACTCTTGTGGCTTTCATTGAATTTTCAGCTATGACATCTAATCGGGAGGCTTTGTCCTCGCAGCCAGTGGAGCCTAAACAATATTGGCGCTATCGGAAGACGAAGAAAAGCTCATTAATATCAGCGATGGCGTCAAATCGAGCAGCTTATTCCCAGTCCAACCAGTAATGAAAGCTGTTAGAAGAAGACGAAAACTCTCCTTTAGTCGGAAGATAATTAAGAAATATCGCAGATTTTATAATAGTATTAGTAGAAGAGATGTTAAAGGGAATTGGTCGAGATTTGGTGGAATATTAAGGAAGTGGGAAAAATTTTTGAGTGGTATATTTAGAAGAATTTTGCCAAGCGATTTAGCGCAATATTAAAAGAAGTTATTGATGGAAGCTGATGAAATTCTAAGATCATTAATGTCATTAATACGCTTAAATTTTCTTTTATTCGTTTTTATTTTTTTTGAAATATATTTTTTACAATTTTTGTGATTCCTTAAAATAATCTATTTAACAGTGAACAGTGAAAACAGTGTTTAACAGTGAATAAATGAGAAAATTCTAATAGGTTTTTTTTTTTTTTTAAGAGTCATTTTCCATTTAGATTGCCTTGGCTGACCTGGCCAGAGAGTCAGTCATTTGGTACAAGTACAAGCCAGTGTCAGATTTTCTTGGATGAAAGTCTTCATTTCTGCCAATAGTAGAGTATTTTTGAATTCTATGCTTAATAGCCTTGAACAGTTTTATTGCAACTGTTATTTCGTAAAATATTCGACAAACAAAATTCTTTAGATTACCAGATTTTTTTATCATAAACTTGCTTATTTACAATGATTTTCTATTGCAATTTCAATTCGAAAAAGAGGAATGAGCATAGTGGGCAAATCTCTAAACTATTAATTTCTGCGATCCTCAACACCTATTTTAATGTCAGTAGGATTTTTTTTGGAAAGAGACGCCTAGTTTAACCGATATAAACATTTTCGGCGATGAGTCATTTTACTTCCCATTGGTTATTTAGGAAAAATTTAACTGGTTTTGTGAATTATTTTCGATAAATTTCATCGAAATAATAATGAATCAAATTATAACTCTAATAATTTTTTAATTTAGAAATAATTTTCGATAGATAATAATGGAAATAACGGATAAACCGCTAAAAAATCACGGTTTATGTTCAAGCTTTTCAAATATTTCAATACATCCTCTTGTTATTATGAACATATCAGAACACTGGACACGGATAAGAGCTCAGAATCCAGCTTTAGCTTCTGCAGGAGTTTGTTTTTTTTCTGCCTCATTGTTTCGTTGCAAAGCGTATGGGGATTGAATCATGGTATAGTCTGATTAATGGCCGATAGTATGGGTTCAGTTATCGTCCACTGAGATGAGCAAACATAGCATTAAGAGCAAAATGTGGATGACTAGTGTGATCCATTCCTTTTCTCCAGATGTTTCTTTGGTGAAATGGTCTTCAGTTATTATTGCTAATCATGAACAGTACTAATCGAGTACTATTAAAAAAAGCCAAATATTAAATCGATCTGCTGTTTAAGTCAATTTTTCTCTTGAAATGATTTAATCGATATGATATAATTGTTAAAACTTGATTATTTTGTTTGTTTTGGTTTTTTTGGGTTTAACAAGAAAAAAATGATTTCAAGTTTCCTTAGTTATTATTCGAGATTAAATGGTTTATTAATTGTTAAGGCTTATAATTTTGAGGTCGTTGGCGCTCTTCTTGGTGTAGAGAGTGGTCGTCATTTGGAAGTAATTAATAGTTTTGAGCTAAATTTCGATACCCTTACAGCAGTTTTCGATGAAGAATATTTCAAAAACAGAGAAGGACAATGTAAATTTATCGTTTTACTTTGTTTCTTTTGGGATTATTGATACATTAAATTTCTCTAAAATAATTTTCGATGTTTTAATCATGTTGGTCGTATTAGTTATATTGAAAGTTTAAGAAATATGAAATATTTTAGACAAAGAAGTGTTTCCGAATTTGGATTTTCTTGGATGGTATTCAACAGGTAATCTCGCTATTTCTGAAAATGACACAGTTATATATAAATGCCTTGCTAAATTTAGTTTAACGCAAGTTGTGATTAAATTGGATCCTTGTCAGTGTTTTCATAAGGTTTTTTTTCTCTTTCATCATGTAAATCTTTTATTTTTTAGATTTTTAATAGTTAGAAATTTTTTTACAAATCTATAGCATATCGTAAATGAAAACGTTTGTTTTAAAAATGGGAAATCAACGGCTATTTATCATCATTTGTCAGTTACTTCTTAGTATATTTTTGTTCTTTCTGTCTTAATATGCATTTGGGCGACTTTTTAAATCTAAGTCATTGAATTATTGAATTATTGAATAGTATTTATTGGGGTTGATTGGTGTTAATGAATATTGCGCTTGTGCGATATACAATTTTGAGAGAAGAAAGTGAGTGCCAAATGCTTACTAGAAAAGGCTTTTTGTAGAATAATAAAATAATAAAGTCTGATGAAATTCAGTTATCTAGTTTTATTCTGAATTCTTTTTCTTTTAAAGATTCTGTCCAAATTATTTCTCGCTTTGTTTCGCTAACTTATTGCATTTCGCTTGATTTTAGTTGCCTTTGGTTGTTCTGGAACCAGTTCCTGTTGATGGTTCGGTACAGAATGATTTGGAATGGAAGGAATTGCCATGGGATTTAGCGAGCGAAGAAGCTGAACGCATTGGTATAGAGCATATTGCGCAAATTTCAACTTCTTCGTCTACTTCTAAATCATTTCTTAACAAACAATTATATGGTCAACTCGGTGCCATAAATATGTTGTTATCTCGATTGCAGATCATTGACAATTATTTAACGGTTTATTTTCATATTTTTAAACATAAAACTTAAAACAATGAATATAAAAGAAAATGTAAAAATTTTATTTAATAATATCGACACAAAACTTAAGAAATATTAATAGAAAAAACGATATTATATGGTAATTTTATTCGGTTTGATTAGCTACTGATACTGCAGAAATAACTTCAGTTCATTACAGTAGTTAATGCAGCCAATGAAAAAGTTATGAGATTTTGGTCTTATAATTTGATTTTCTCATCTTCAGTCCACGCTAGCATTATTCAATTGTAGCAAGGCATTCCTTACACAATCGAGCCACTTTCTGGTGAAAATTTTTCATCAATTCACCTATGAGAAGCCACCATAAGTCGCACTTCTCTACAAAATATTACCAAAGTTTTATTATGAAGTGGCATGATAATTGCTTTAAGAACATATTTTTTTTTTTGTTAAGTAAATAATTTAATTATAAAGTAAATAAATAAGATTGCGGATTTTAAGCGCATGTGGCTTAATATCTAATATGACGGTGGATGTCTTAGGTACAGGACATATGTCTTTTTTAACAAATTTTCGATGCTTGTTCTGTATTATAATCACAATTTCCTTGTCTGAGCGAGAAATTAACCACCATTTTTTGAATATTTGCTCATCCGCTCTTCGTTGCACAATGTCTCGAAAACTATTGAGTGGAAATATTTTTATTTGATTGTCCTTTGTCCTTTTTTCTGTAATTATTTAATTATTAATAATCATTAATTATTTAAATAGCAAAGATCGATTATCGCTGAATCCCTTTGGTTAACCAAAGAACATATTTTTTTGTTAAGTAAATAATTTAATTATAAAGTAAATAAATAATCATAAAATAAATAATTTACTGCTTCGGTGAATTTTGCAATTCAAGATAAATAATTTATTCAATAATAATTTATTTAACAATTTATAAATTAATAATAAATAATAATTAATAACAAAATAATTAATAATTTGCAGAGCTTTTTTGTTCAAAAATCTAAAATAAAAAATTGAATTTTCGTCTCTAATTGGAATTTATTTAAATAATTTCGTTCTATTTTGATTTCTTTTTTTTTTTTAACATTTTTCAACACCGTAACACTTTAATCAGCTTTTCTAGACGAATTAAATGAATGAAAATAAAAGTGAAGTGTATTTCATTATTACTTTATTTCATGTTTCATAAAGCATAAGAAATTACAAAAAAAAGAACAAAATATTTCATTTTTTATAAAACTTACAAGAAAAACAGAAAAATGCAGGTGAATTCACAACAGCAGCCATGCGTATTTCATCTTTTTTTAATAACATTTTCCCTCGTTTCAAGACAGCGTTATATTATTTAAATTTTTCACGATTTTTTTCTTTAAATTACATTTTTATGAAAATTTCCTCTTTCTATTTTAATATGAAAGGTGAAAAAATTATGAAAATTTTCGATTAATTTCAATTATGTCGACGAAATAACAAACAATAGAGGAATGATGCCTTTTTTTTTTTAGTCAGTGAAAAATGGAAGTGTTCGTAAGAATAACAGAATCATCAGCGAAATCGCTCAATTAAGTAATTTCTCTTTTTGCGAAAGTCAAATGTTCAGCGATGATTATGATGATGTTAGCTTTCCATTGAAATTTCTACTGAACTAGAATTTTTTTTGTTCATTTTTTTTATTTTATGCATCGAACCCAATATTTTAGTAGCATATCCTATCCTTCGAAGTTCTTCAAAATGATTTTGTTAAACATTCGTTGTTCACTCTATATCTTTGCAAGCATTCGTATTTAATTAATATTTCTTTTTTAAAGAGTCCAAATTTTTTTAAATTTTTATGTTTTCATCTTTCGACAATTTTCCATTTTTTTAGACTTGAAAATTTATTCTCAGAACCTTTTTTATCGAAGATTTTAAGATTTAGATATTGAAAAGTTTTTAGCAATGCCGAGATGCAATCTTGACAGCTCATATTGGAGCGATAACAAAAATCTACGGGAATCTAAACGAAGTAACGATTTTATTTATATAATTTTTATTTTTTCATTGTTAAGCTATTTCTGTTATGGTCATTATTTTCATATTATTCAACAAATCTATTTATTTAGTAGTAGAATTTCGTAAAAATTTAATAAATTATGTAAAAAATCATTGAATAATTTGCTTGATTCCTTTTTAAAATTTTGGATGGTTTTTCGTTGATTTGTAAAATTTATAGAATAAATTAAATGCTAGAAATAGATTTTGTTAAAATTTAGATTAGTTATTCAAATTAGATTTTTCCGTTATTCTTTTCGTTTTTCACATTTTATTAGATATCTTTACCAAATATAATTTGGATATGCAATCTATCAGCCATTAGATACTTTTAAAATTTTAAGGTTATTTTCAACTTTTTTAAAATAAAATCAGTTATTTGTTTGTTTTGATATTTGTTTTTTATTGAATATCGATGTTTTGCAGCTGATAAAAAAAATGAACGTCGTTGCTCCCGATAAGTATTCAAACATATATTCTGGGCTCGTTCAAAAATCTTCTAAAACATGGACCAATTAAACTATGGATGTTATGGATCTCAAAGATATTTCTTCCTCTCTCTTTTAATTTAATTGTGAAAAGCATATTTGTGCCTTTTTTTGCAGATCTGCTTAATTAAGTGAGTTTTAGTTCGTACGAATGCCATTTTTTTAAAGTCTTCATCCAGCGTATTGCTTTTCACAACAGTTTTTATTAATCTTTTTACTTTTTTCTTTATATTTATTCTTTTTTATTTGTTATTGTCTTTTTCTTTTTTTAAAAAATAATAACCTCAATTTATTTGAAAGAGATATATTATCTCGTCATATTTCTGTATTGTATTCGTAGAAGTAGTTAAAATAAAAATTTCTTGTATTTTTTTACATTTCTTAATTTGCTCGCATATTGCATTTTTTTGCTCGCATTTGCTCGCATATTGCAAGTTATTTTGGAAATCATAATTTTATGATATCGAATATAACAAGGTAATTCTCATTCTTTAAACTGTATACACGGTGAACGATAAAATTATATTTTGGATTTTCAATCATCGTTGCTTTTTTTTGATATTTAGCGGATTTGCAATTAAGCCGGAAGAATATCCGCTGGTTTTCTTTTTTTGTTGGCCCGTTTTTTCGAGTTTTGTGCATAGTGAATTCGTAAAATTGTTACGGATAATTCGGATAATTCACATTTGTCTTTTTTATTTTAGAAATGTTCATTTCAAACTCGGGTCGGCAGTTGTCGCGATATTTTTGTTCAAATTTGCGATCATTATGTTTGATGCAATATCGGACGATGTGTAAGCAAGTTGATCGGAATAAAAAGGTTCGATTCTATCGTTAGTGCCTTATTTATTTCGCTATATTCTATTGCATAGAGGATGGAAGAATGTATTTGTAGCTTGGCTGTATGTTTGGAGCATCGTATTTCTTTTTGGCTTTTGGTAGAAGAGAGAGACCCAAAAAAATCCGTCACTTCGATGGTGAATTTATAAAATTATGTATTTTCTCGTTTGCGAAAAAAATTTCGTCTTTAAATTATTCAAGTTTGCGGCAGTTATCGATATCATCCGTTGTAATTCATACGTGTCTTCGTACCTGTCAGTAAAGAATATCATCAACTATATCATCAACGTATTCAAAGCCTGTTGAAATGTCCTTGATTGATTTGCACCTATTGAATGCATGAAAATAGTATTCCTCTTCCAGTATATATTGAACATTATCGGGTGATTCTGGCATTCAGCACTTTTTAATTCGAAAGGATGTGACATTTCCACTTACATACATTTTTGTTAATATGCAATGATCAAGTACCTTAATGAGTCGTTTCTCAGGAATATCATCGTATTTCATAATCCTCTAAAATGCCGCTCTATCAAATGAATTGGGGATAGCGACAAAAAAAATTAAAATAAGTGGGGTGATTATTTGGTCCAAATGCCCTCGCCATGCCTTGAACTTTGTTAGAGGGCATTTTGCTATTTCGTCTTGCTACGAGAAAGAAGTGAAATTTTTTCCATAGGTATCTGGTAGGTTAGTTCCTTGTCTTAATATGACTTATCATCCTTCAGAGTTGCAAAGTTTTTTTTATCTCTTTTATCTTTCTTCCATGGCAGTAAATGTTCTTTGCTAGTTGGTAAATCCATTCAAAGTCATTATTTCAAGAGTCCATTTTAGCAGTTTTTGTCTTAAACTTCTGAATAATGCATGTTATTGTTGTATTGACGGTCTTCAATTACAGTCAATGAGAATTTCCAGTATATTTAAGATGACGCATTTTGGTTAAATTTAGTTTCAAGGAATTCTCCATACAACATCGCCATACAATGCAGTGTTTGAAGCATTTCAATGTAACTAAATGTCTTCGATGGTTGATGATATATGTTCGCAGAAAAGAGTCCATTTTCTTGGGTAAAGGGAGAGGGCGCTTTTCATCGACGCACCGTTTCCTAACACAATATTTATTAATCAACTCATATAGTAGTCGCATCCTGTAATTCGTATAATTCTTATCTGATTGTGTTACCTTGTTATCTGATTATCTAATTATGACCTTGTTATCTTTCGGGAGAGATGTGGGAGATAGCTTTAGAAGTTCCGCATGGAATCTCTCTATATCACATTCACCTGTCTATCGAGTACGAGTGACTTATTGGTGGCTGAGATGTTGCAGAACTTCCCATTAAAGCGAGAGTAGGATTCCACCCAATCAGAGCGAATCGAGACATGACCATCGCTATACCATTTGGTTCGGAAGTATCGAAAGCTATCGTTCAGTAACTAGTCAAGAATCACGAAAACAGAGACAAGCAGTGTTCAAAGTGTATTAAGGTTATTTCGCCCTTCGGCTTTTAAAAACTTTCTGATGTTCCACACTGCTATGGTCAAATATTCCTCGCAGCGTTTGCGCTAAGTCGATTGATAGTTGTTTTATTGATAGTTTTAATTTTGAGCAGTTAATTTGACTCGAGAACTTATTCTACTAAATTTTACTAAATTTGCTACTCACATTTGTCGAACGTAACACAGGAAAGCGCATCGGAATATCTAGGCATCTTATGAAAATATCCAAACCGATTAGAACTGCAGGCGATTCCTACTTCCGCTCAGAATTTAGATTTATTCCTGTCAAATAATGGGAACATAAAGGAAAGGAAAGGAAAGAAAAAAAATTTTATTGGAATTAATTTTTATTCCCTTTAATATAAAATTTAAACTTAAAATTTGAAATTTAACTTAATACGAAGAACTTTGAATAAATTTCGAGGAATTGCAACAAGAAAGCCAAGCAATCAATTTGATAATTTAATATCGATAATAAAAAGTTGAAATAAAAAGTTAAAAACTGACCATTATGAACGAAAGCAATTAAGCATCATTAATGGCAGGATTTGGTCGGGAAAGGTTCAGGAGGATATTACTAACAAGAGATAACAGCATTTAAGAGATTAATTGTCGTTTTGGAAATATCGATGGAGATTTCCTAGGGAAAGAGCAGGATGTTAAGTTTATAGCCAGCTTTATTTATGCTTCAAAAAATCTCTTATTTTGATTTTAACCATTTGTTGGAACAATTAATATGAATATGAAACTCATAACCAGTGACTTCCACAAAATACTTATAATAACATTTATGAATTTGTTTTTTGAAGGGATTGTTTGGTGTAGAACTGCTAACGAATCCAGATGGCTTCAAAAATTTGAATCAATTGGTAAAGCAAAGATCTGCTGATTTTATAGAACAAGTAAGTTTATTTTATCTAATTATCTTGCAGTTATCTGAACAGATGGCCATTTTCCAAAATGAAGCGTACAATTTTCAGAAACAGTAGCATTCGTCTTAAATGCATTTCAGATCAATTTATTCTTCAGTTATGCTGATATTTTTTTCATTATTCATTTCTAAAAAAGGATGAACTTTCTTTTTAAGGTCAAATTTAAGTTTTTTATCACTTAAATTTCTATCTAATATTTTAAAATGATTTCACAGATTCTTAATAATGATGGATCAAGAAAAACGGTTGAATTATTCGATGATTTGTCGAATGAAATTTGTTGTAGTGCTGATTTGGTGGGGATTTTTTTATCATAAAATTAACAAAAAATGATAGAATGATAATTTATTAAATTATCTTTTAATTATTTGTTTTGTTGAAGGACTCCATTTACTGTTTTTTTTAAATTAGTTTGATTGGTTCTCTTCAACTTTTATTTTAAAAAATTAGGTGGAATGTACTCGTTTGATGCATTCACAGAATGAATTCAAAGTGGCGGCTGAGGAAAGTATGCGCGACTTCACGGAATTCATTGAAAGGTAAATTATTTTTTGCTGGAATAATCATTTGAAAAAACCGTTTTAATTTTTTTAGTTTCTTGAAGAAATTTAAAAAATTTGCGCTATATTATAGAAGTCGAAAATTTAGAAAAATTCGACTAAACTTAATAAATTAATTTAAGAAAATAAATTTAATGAATTTAAGCAATCATTTTTAAATTATTAACGAAGAATCGTCAATTCACGGTTTATTCATTCCTAGGGAAAAAAAAGAAATATAGCTAAAGTATAATGGTATAACTTCATTAAGAAATCTTCATTTTTTAATAGCTGTCATCGTTACTAATTAGACTCGCTTAGCTGGCTGCAGATTGTTTCTAAACAGCTTGATTCATCGCCATCAATAACTATTATTAAAAGCCATTCCTTTTCCATCGTCTAAATCCATATATCGCTGGTCCATCTATAGCAAGACAAATCACACCAAAAAATATATCCCAAATTTCAGCTTAAATACACGAACTGATCTCTATAATGCATTAAAAATGTCGTTGGAACTCGAAAAATCCAATTTGACAGATATTGATCGACGTACAATCTTATTATTTCTGGCAGATTTCGAAAATTCGGGTGTTCATCTTCATGACAGTAAGGTGAGGTAATTGAATGTCTTTTATAAGTATATCACAGCTCCTAGGAATAATGCTTAATTGCGTAGATAGCTATGTTGTCTGGTGCTGTTCATTCACCATCTAGATTATTGCTAAATAGGGCAAACCAAGCTATTTCATTGGTTTCTTAGAAGCAAGAATTTGTGGAATTGAGTACTGAAATATTTGATGCTGGTTCAAAATTCGTAAGCGAAGCAGGAAAACCGGTTCAAGTCAACCAGTTCGATCGTAAAAAATATGGTGTTGATCGTCTTTTGACTAATCCTTATCCTTTTACTATATGTGAAGCAACGAGGCGTTGGTCTTATTCAACCTATTACCGACACAACGAGAAACAGGTCAATAATTTTTTGTAATTTTTATAATAATTTTTAAACGTTATTCCTTTTTTTAATGGTTTGATCAAAATTTAGCGTTATAGGAATCTTCGTTACGGCGTCTAATAACTGCACGCCATCGGTTGGCCAATCTTACGGGTTACAAGACATTTGCTGATAGGGCACAGGAATTTTCAATTTTAGGAAGTTATGAAAATGCCCACAATTTCTTAACAGAAATTATAAAGGTTACTTCTTATTTCTTTTCTTTTTTATTTATAATAATTATTTCTTTTCTTCTTTAGTAATTATTTCTTTTCATTCAGCCTTTCTATTTTTTCTTTTATTAAAAGTTTATTTCTTTTGTAAATTTTTATTTTCTTTTTTATTATTTTTTAGAAATAGAAATCTTTTTTTAACTTTCTTTATGCGATATGAGCCCGCACTTATAGCTAATTCTTTTCTTATTCATAGAATGCAACATTGTGCATTAATTGAATGCATCTTAAGAAAGAAAAAAGGGTTTTGATCAATGGAATTTTTTGAACGCTGAAAAGGTGCCCGATTTGGAAGAAGCAATTTTCAGTGTTGTCGTCCATCAGCCGACCGAGAATTGACAGTTTTGCTTGATGTACTTTCGCAATGTGATTCGCAATCCGAAAAGCTTGGTGAGTGGGATTTGCAGTATTTGTCAGCTGTTTATAGACAAAAAGCATATGGGAATATTGGAGCTATTTCTAGGTAATAATTCCAGTTACATCTAATTTTTCTTCGAATTCTTTTCGAAATCTCTTTATTTTTTAAATTTGAATTTAAATTTTAAATTCTAGGCATTTATCGTTTAAAAATATTCTTTTCGGATTTGAATTGGTCACTAAGAAACTTTACGGCGTTAGATTCTCATTAGAAACTGCAGAAGCAGGTGAAATTTGGCCAGGAAATGTACATAAATTGGTAAATTTTATTTAGTAACGCTATTAGAAATCACTTTTTTTTGTTTAATTTTGTAAATCTTATTTATTTTCAATTTCTTATGGCTTTAATGAGTAATAACATGAAATTTAAATTTCGGATATTAGATTTATATAAAGGATTTATATAAATATAAAGGAAGAATAAGTGAAAAAAAGTTGGGAGAAAAATGAGAGAAAGTATGAAAGTATTTTTGCAGGGGAAATAAATATACACGATTTTCTACTAATTTTTATTATATTTGGTTATTCTTATTCTTGCATTACCTTGAGTACTGGACCAATAAAAGTTTAAGATATATATCTGAATATTTGCATCGATTTAGGTCGTGTTAGACAGCAGCAATTCACATATAGGTACCATTTATCTGGATATTGAAAAACGAGCAACTAAAGTTACTGGAGATTGCCACTTCACCGTTCGTTGCTCGAAGCTTGTATGGTTTTTTTTCCATTTATTCCTCGATTATTTGCATATTTGGTTTGCCTATAATTACTTATTGAACTGAAAATGCGTCCTCAGATTTGCTCTCTTTCAGTTGCAAGATGGAACATACCAAAAGCCAATCGTTGTTATTTCATTATCAATAGTAGATGGTCAACAGTCTATAGATCAAATTTATCTCAGTACGCATCAGGCTGATAATTTTTTTCATGAAATGGGCCACGCTATGCATTCAATGCTTGGCCGTACTCAATATCAGCATGTTGCCGGTAATTTTCGTTTATTTAAGCTTATTTATTTATGTATTTAATTTATTTATTGTTTATTTATTTCCGATATTTATATATCACTTGGTTTCTTTTATAAAAATTATCTCCTCAATTTATAAAAAATACCCGTACTTTTATCTTACTGATAAATTTTATTCGGCATCAACTGGAGAGTATAATCTTTCCAGACTGTCTAATCGGATGCCATAATTGAAGCCATTTCATTTTTGAACTTCCAATCTCATCTATCACTAGACCTTTTATGCTTTTGAAGTTCCCCAACTACACCTGTCCTAATTGGGTATTGATTGGTCTTTCTTATCATACTTTTCGTAGGGCATAGAGAGATATGTGTCAGTTCTTATGATGGATGACGATATGTGACCTACCTAATTAACTCAGGTAATAGTTTTTTTAACGATATTATTGATGCAGATGGTATTCAAGCAAAATTAGAAGTAAACATAAAATTACACGTGATTGGTAAGTAGGAGATTAAAGATTAGAGATAGATAACTTCCTGGTATTTTACTTCAATTTCTTCAATTTTTAGCAGATTAGATTATATTAGAGCCAGGAAGTTAAGAACTTTTATTTTGAGACTGATTTCAAGGCGAATACGTGCCTCTAACTGGAGCTAGCCAAATTGGGATTTTATCTTTCACTTTACCATTCGGTATAAAGGTGGATCCAAAATGTCTAAAATCTGGCGTTTTTTGAACTGGAAGTGAATTTATAGAATTTACAACCTTATCTGGTATATAAGATAAAAAAAGTTTTATCTTTTTTGCAATGATTTTTACATTTACATTGATCTGGAAATTTTCGTTATCCTTAGTTGTTATCGACATGAAGTTTAAAGTCTGTTGCACTTTCTCGTAATTATCAGTGTCAATGAAAATCATTAGCATATTCAGGTTCATAATAATATGCTGTGGATTAACTGCTTGAGTGCGGGCAAATAATGTCCTTAATCCTCTTACAACTAAAAGGAAAAAAGAGAAAAAAGAAAAAGAAAAGAAAAGAAAAAAGCATAACTTTGGTGCACTTATATTTCGAAAAGTTGTGGCAATTTCCTTCAGTTTCCTTCATTTTTCTTTGTGCTGTAATATTCCTGGACCTATTCAGAAAGAAGAAGAAGAAGAGTCTAGAAAATCTATTAAGAATTGAATATTTAAATCTTTAATTAAGAAAACTATTTCTAGATATCTTACATGTTGATCATCTCAATATTTCGATATTTAAGGTAGTCTGTCCTGTCACCTTTTTTGGGATTTTGAGGCAGTATTGTAGTCACACGGTATTTCTTGTGAATATATCCTTTGCAGCTGAGTTGTGAAGGACTGGGCAGCATTTGAAGAATTCATTTGGTTCAGAAAACCATCTCATATGAATTACAAAGATCATTTTTGGTTGATGATTCATATTTATAATCGTATGGCACCAAATGCAGTACAATCATATCAGGAATGTTGAACGGTCCATCATAAAATCTAGGTCCAAAAAATATATCTTTATCTCATTTAGCATTTCTCGAGCTGCTATGGTTGCTTCGCGAAATAGGTGGATTAGTTATTGATGTCGTGCACTCAAGTGTTGATATTCAATATCCCGATACCTCTGTGGTTGGATAGTTTTTCCGAGTAATGAACGGATTTCTTGAGGAAAAATTGCAGTTGAAGCCGATATTCAAATGTTGGTTGAGAATCAAATGTTGATTGCCTATAGAGTTTCAAATTTCTGCTGTATTAAAAGCACAAAAAGTCCCTACTTTTAAATAAAATAGAAAGAATGTTTGCCATTGGTAATAAATCCAAACGCCAAGCGTGTCGACGTCTCTATAAGACAATAGGATATCATTAGTTCCCACTCACGCATTCCAATCTTCCTTTCATCTTTTTTTGGAAGATGCTTAATAGGTATTGCATCGAATCTTATCCAGATTATCAGCATAGGAACATAAAGATTGATGAAGGTGCTGCGGAACAACTTACCTTTAAAGCAGGCATCATTAAGTAGGTTTAATAATTCCACACGATTGAACTCTTTTGAACATGGCTAATGCGACGACTTTATTTCTCTTTAAGTTATATGTGAAACACCATACAGTTACTATCCTTGTTGAAACTAAGAAGGAAGGTGGATTTTGGAATACGCAGGTATTATCTAAGATTTATTCGATTCTTCCATGTTTTCTTTGGCTCCCATCAGCCATTTAAATTTGATTTTAATGGCACGTTTTCTCTTGTCAAGATAAGTGAAGAAATAATTTCATTTTTTAATAAGTTACAGAATTTTGATGGAAAATTTTAGAAAAATTTTTGTTAAAACAGTTTGAGTTTCCTTTGGCTACTCAGTTACATGCCTTTTATTTTGTTTGAAAGAAGTTTTGTCGTGTCAATAAATAATATTTAAAAAGAAATATTTTTATTTTTTTGGAATTTTAAAGAACTTAGAAGATTTTGCGTAGCATATTGAAATATATAATTAATTTTTTTAGGCCTTTTATCGTACCTATCTATATTCCTTCAAATCCGTGATTTCGAGTTTTCGGACCTTATTGTATTCATTTCTCTGGAATTTTAGGTACACGATGTCCAACTGATATGGCTGAAATCCCTTCAAATCTAATGGAATATTGTTTCAATGATTTGTCAGTCTTACGCGAAATCGCGAAAGATAGCAATGGGAATTCAATAAGTGTGGAAGAAGCAGCATCATTAATTACATCTCGTTTTGCTTTTACAGCTACTGAAATGCTCCAGCAGGTCAAAATTATTTTAGTGCAATAATTATTTCTTTAAACATTTCTTTTATTAAGAATTTATTCCATTTTTTCATTTATTTTTCTCGATTCAAGGCCATTTATGCTTTATTTGATTTGGAAATACATGGACATAATGCATATGGCATTGTAAATGGTTCCTATTCTTCAACTGATTTATTCAATTCGATATGGTCCGTCGTGTTTCCGAATGTTGTAAAAGGGGAAAACTGTGCTTGGCAACATAGGTTTTGAATTTTTTTGTTTGAATCCTATTTTTTCTACTTATATTCCCAATTATGCAGAGCTGGTTCTTGGTTTATTCTTTGATTCGCCATTGGGAAAAAGATTGAGTTTCTGATTGAGCAAAATTATTTTACTATTTCTTGGATATTTTATCAACTTTAAGCAATAATAATGGCCTGTTTGTAACAAAAACTTTCAGTTCAGTTAGCATTTACAAGACCGATAACAAATTATAATTTTAAGGTTTTCTCATTTATTTCCATATGGCGCAAAATATTATTCATATATGGTTGCCAAAGCAGCTGCATGTTTAATTTGGAACACTCGATTTCGTGATGATCCTTTTTCTTCTGACGCTGGAAAGATGTGGGCTAAGGTACACATATATTTGATATTGATTTGATAGCATCTAAGAACTATTATGATTTTTTATTTGGTCCTACTGCTCCTAAAAAATTAATTTCTAAAATTATTTTTGAAAAACAGGTGCAATCTTATGGCGGAGCTCTGCCTTCAGCAGATTTACTTCACATTGCTCTTGGTTACTGGCCAACTGTTCAGAATCTCGCTAATGCGATAAAAAATGAAGCTAACAATACTTGCCAATTTTCTGCTGTTAACTTTTAGGCAGATTTTTTACTTTCTGTTTTACTACTTGCTCAGTGTTTGATACTACGTTTTATTAATATTTTCCTCGAAAAAGTTATAATTTTTTTTGGTGCGAAGAATGACGGATGTTATGTTATGTAAAAAAAAATCTAAGCTATACTATATACAAGCAATGGAGGCTACAGACTATACCATTTCTTATTAAGTTGATTTCGCTGGCCTATAAACAAGAGCAAAAGCAAAGTACTACAACATAGTATTAAAAATATAAAAATATATTCACCTTCCACCTTTTACTTACATATTATAAAACATAAAAGAAACGAATATACATTCAAGTGAAAAAAATAGCTTCATCAAATAATCATTCATTTTGGCATTTCTTTTCTCACAAAAGAATATTATTGCAATTTCAAAGATTTAAACAAAATTTTCTGGAAAACTTTATTCCCATTTTTGTAGATTTCTCGGACATATTATAATTTTTGGTGAATCCCCAGCATTCCTTCAATTTCACTTTTAGTCTGATCTCATTAATAGCCAAGGATGGAATCCAATCCATATATGACAGAAAGTCTTTGACCAATGACCAACTAACTGCCGTGAAAAAACTTTGTAAATATTCCTAGCTTTTTTCTTCAAACGTAAATTTTTTTGAAAAGTGAATTTTAAAGTAATTTCTCAAAGCAGCAAAATTATTTAATAAAATTATTTAAATTATTTAGAAGAGAATAATAAAAAAAATCGAAGAATAATATATTCTATCAAAAAAAACAATGGTGTGCAAATGAAAACAACCACCAAGTCAAAACGAGTGCAACAATAATCCTATGCAACCATCGTACAGCTGTTGCCATTAATATTTTTCATAATAATTAATAATTTAAAGAAAAGAGCAAAATTTTTTAGGCTAAATCAGGCATTTTCGATGGCTTTCATGGCGAACAATTCAAAAGGCAAGAAATCTTTCTTAAAATTTTATAAAATGAATGGTAGGCAGCATAAAACCATATTTTTCAACAATCATAACATTATTATAATTTGAATTAAAAAAGAAAAATAATTAAACAATCAACTATTGAAATAAAAACTATAATGTGTAAATGATTTGCAATACAATTGACAGAGAATAATCCAGAAAATTAATTTACGTCGTGCATTTCTCATAATTAGAGAATTCTAAACGAGTTCACTTTTTCTGGGCGGAAAGTGACAATTTGACACTTCCAAGCTTCATTTTTCAGTATAAATTTTTTGGCAATTTTAACTATCGAATAAAACAACTTTGTCTCACTTATTTTCTACTATAGGACGATAAAACATTCATCAAAAAAAACTAAGTACAAATATAATAGTGCGAAATGTACCATCAATATCATAAAATTATAGGTGTAAATAAACTCGACTTTTCTCCACAAATTTGATAAAGCAAAAATTCAGAACTGATAAGAAAAAACAAATAGATTCATAGAAATTCGCTGAAATAAAGCGAAACTTTTCGAACGTACGAATCTTCCGTCATACAGGTCACACACTTCACATATACAGGTTAATTAAATCATAAGAATAATTGCAAAGAAACACCCGAACTTTATTTAAAAAAGAAAAAACCAAAAAACATGCATAATTAGAGTTAACCGATTTAGAAATATTTCCAGTTGATTACAATAATCGCTTTTAAAATACAAATACAAATGAGATCCAAAACAGTAGCGAAAAAGTAAAATATTTAAACCGAACTAATCCATTCCCAGAGAACTGTTTGCAAAATCAATCTGAATTTCCCGTTTCTTTTAAGCCTCAATCACGATTCGTGCCTTTGATCGACTTAGTTAAATCAATACTGTCAAACGAAGATGTTAATTCATCCAAAGTATTCGATTCATTGTTCGTAGTAAGAAGATCGTTGAAAAGATCGGCACCTCCCAAATCGCGTAAATTGCCTCTAGTAATCTGAGAAAATAACGAGAATTTCAATAGAATATTTAAATATAGGAATATAATTTAATCTAATAAAAATACTGTGGCACTCGAAAAAGATTAGCTAATTTTTCCAACTACGCTGCATTACCAATGCTGAATTTAGAATCGCTTAAAATATCGACCACATCTCATCTGCCTTAATCCCTATGCCATTTGCTTTTTGCACCACTTTTATTTTTTTTGAAGGACCGTGTGAAGCAAAAGGGACAGAATTGAAAATTTGGAACTAGATTTTTTTTCAGTCGAAAAGAGCATCAACTATAGTAGATTAAACAATGCAAATATATATGTATGTAAGTTTCACCACAGTTAAATATAGAAAATAACTCAATTTGTTTAATTTTTTTCGGGAGAAAAATTTAATTACTTAATTTTTACGAAATTTTGAAATAATCCGATGCATCAATTAGTGATAAAGAAACTATACCTGAGTATCCGAGAATATTTTAATAATTAATGCAATAAGCATGACATATATAACAAACTATGTTATAATACAATTAAAGGAAAATAATGCAATTTCATAAACTTACATCTTCAGGAGAATTTGATAAAATATGAGCAACCAATAATGCATCTTCGATTTGCGAATTCAATTCTAGTTGAGCTATATTTGACTGCGAAATGGATATCATAGGTGATTCAGAACATTCATGGACAGATGACATTTGTGACTCCGTATTTTGTTGAATAGAAGACCCACTATCCTTTTGCTCCGCAACACTATTCATTACTTCAGGCAAATCGTTAGTGTTAACAATATGTATTGGACAGTTAACATACCCGACTTGATTTTGTCGCAAATTTCTATTTTCTGAACCATGTGAAACTGGTTCGAATTCTGATATAATAATTTCTGGAGTGTTTCTTGGCAACATCTTTGATTTCTGTAATCTTTCTGAATCTCTGACAATATTTGATGGTGTATTTGAAATTGCCTGGCTAGGTGCAGTTGAACCCAAATAAAAGGATTTATCACAATACATACTATCCATATTTATATTTCTCTGTTGCATTGTTACGAAAGATGGATCTGAAAGATCGCAAAATTTTGGTAAATTTTCATATAAGAAAGCAAATTGTTAAAGCTCATAATTTAGGACAATACGGCTTGTTCCTGGCTAAATAATTGTATAAATTAGTAAGGCCACGGAAATACCTAACTGAAAAGTATCTACTTAGATTTATTTAAACTCCACTTGCTGTTAATTCTAAAAAAATTTCTGGCAATGAGTCATTTGACAACGAGAATAGAGAATATAGATGAGTCGAGAAAAATACCCATATTTGTTAATCGTAATTTCCGTTAAAGCAGTATTCTCTCGATTTTCACGATGATAATCTAAGCAACAAACCACTCTGTATGCATCGTAATGTGTCCTTATAAAAGAGAAAACAATTTAAATAATAGTTCTAGTATTTATACAAAATACCTATATGTGAACTGATAGGTGGTTGCGGGTGTTCATCGTCAAAAAATTTCTCCAAAGGATTTTCGACAAATTTTTGGCGAATTGATGATGCAACTGTATTGCAACGGTAATTGCATTCAATATCACTTTTTGCAGAAGATAGTTCAGCAGAGCAACGTTTACCCACTGTCTTTTCCCCACTGTTGACAATATGGCTTATTCCTGGCTGAAATAATTTTGTGAAAAAGGTTACAGAAATATCTAATTGAAAAGTCTGCTTATGTAACTTATCCATTTCACATTAATTCATTCGAAAATTTTTCGAATTAAACATATTAAATTAAACTTATTACTAAAGTAATATTTTTAGTAGCATAATGCGACTTTTCGTCCAAAACTGATAGTACATCAGGTGATTCCGTTGGTGCGTAAGAAACATTCCACTCATAGCTTTTTATGGGATGGCTCATACAACTGATAGCGCTATCTAGAAAAAATTTAGCGCTATTTATCACTTTAATTGAGTTGAACGTTTTAATATAATATTAATATATATATTAATATATATAATATAATATTATATACATTATTTCTTCGATTTCTCCAATTTCAATTTTTCTCAGCATATCTACTTTCTGCAACTCGATGAGACAATAATAGAAAAAAATTAACATGTTGGATGTGAAATGCTGTGAGAAACAACTGCCATCATGTCACCACCAACCACTGCTTCCTTAATCGGGAATGGATCCATAGGTTCAAAAGAATCATATTCATCACCATACTGCAAATAAATTAATTTCAGCAAAAAAAGTGATAAAAATCAGAAAAAAAGCAGGAAAATTTAAAAAGATGATTCAGACTATGAAATTCAAATTAAAGAAATAAATTATGTCAAATTTATATGCCATAATTTGCAACAGCATTTCAGCATTTTTATTTTTTGGAACTTTAATCTATAAAAAAATAAAGTTTGAAAAAGCGAAAAAAATCAAAGAATTTACAAACCAAGTTGGCCCTATACGTATTCGAGAATCCTCTACTTGGATTATTTCCTCCAATCGATTGTTGGATGCTAAACTGTTTCATAGCATTTTCTATTTGATCGAAAGATCGCCTAGTAATAAATCACGCATATACTTTATAAAGAAACGAAACGGTTAGTTCTAAACATTTGTTTATATCTATGATTAAAAAATCCTCTCATCTTTTGTGGGCATAGACAATCCTCAACATCGTATCCCCTATCAGAGGCGTAGGAGACTGTGAGGCAGATAACATCCAAAGACCCTCACAGAGAGGATTAGCTGGGATTTGAACGGCTGGAACCGTTGTTGCCACATCCCATAATAATCATATTATTCTTTAATATATATATATATATATAAATATTCTTAATACGTCAGAAAAGTGTAAATTTACCTCTGTCGTGTTAACTCATGAATTCTTCCTTCACTGCTACCATTATCCAGAGATAATGGACGAGGAAATATGTGAGGTGCAACATCTGTAAAATCATTTGAAGCTAAAAAAAGATCTAATCCAACTAACTCTAACATTGTTTTAGCAAATTTAAAAAAAGTTATATAAAAGTTAAAAAGTAAAAAAAATTATTAAATATTGAAAGAATATTACCTTCGGCTAATGCATAATCACCACTTGGCTTAGAAGCAAGAGGCGATGGAGAAGATTCGTCGTATGTGACACTGTTTTCAAAGAAATTAGGGCTATTTTCGAGTAAGCGATCATCAAAACCAGCTAAAAAAAAATAAAAAATAAACTTTATTGCTTAATATGATTTAGTAACTGAACAAATGAAAGCTAATAAAAAAAAAACAATCGTCACAAATATGGATAGAATCGTCTTCAAAACTTCTTCCACATAAACATATGTCGCATCCTCAACAATCTATGCAACAATCATTTTCTCAATCATGTCGCATCCTCAACAATCATCATTTTCTCCAATATTCCTTTACAGTTAATGAGGCAGAGGCAAATTAACAAAACAATGGAGGGTAATGAGTTATGAGAAAAAGTACAATGGTATTTGATCAGGTGTTATGGAAAATGGCAATTGGAATGATGGAATTTGAGCATATTCTTAATAAAATATAATAGATTTTGGAAGATATCAAAAATAAGTATATCAACATATAACGGCATATGTAAATTGTGAATGTTTTTTGCACCCGCTTTTTTTTCACGTATAAACAGCAAGAAATAAATATGATATCAATTTTATCATTTAAAAAAATTACCCTTGCTTTGTAAGAATCTATCAACACCGAAATCTCTTCGGCACCAATTATTAGTATTCATGCTACTATTATTCTTGCTTGTACTAGCAGGGCTCGACATGAGGGTCATATTGCTTCCATCTACCTCCAACGTCTGGCTCGAGGTTGTTCGCCTATCGTAATTACCAGAATCAGGCGAGGAAGGCTGATCACTAACCACACTATAATTATTTAGAAATCAATCATTTTCCTCAATAAAAAACATTTTTAAACCATTTTCCTCCATAAAAATTTATATTCCTATTAATTTACTTTTCTTCAAATTTTCTGGAAAAAAACTAGAGAAATTTTCAATTTTCAAAAACTCTTCATGAAATATATTTTTTATATGCGAAAAAATCCATGAAAAAATTTACCTAACACATTGCACATTGGTATTAGTAGCAAAAGAAGCACGTCTAGCACGTTTTTTCTTCCCTGTATGAGTTCTCAAAGAATCGACGTCTGCCTCGACCTCTAAATACTTGCACAATATGATTTAAAATGAAATTTAATTTTAAAAAATTCCAAGTATAAAATTATTTTTAAAATAATTTTATACGAAGAATATAGAGAAGTTTATTTTCTATTTTATTTTTCATCCTTATTACCTTAATTTTTTTCCTTCAATTGTTCATCTGTTTTTGATTGGAGTAATCTATCAAAATATCAGTAATACCAAAAATCCGGGCAGATGCTGAGGACCCACCAGTAATTCTATCCTTAAGTGACTCTGTGATGATTGAGTCAAGTTTTTTTGACACGGAGTCAATGTCCGCGCATGCTCTGTAGTACATACATTAAGACAATATGGGCATAAACTCCAAGATGACCTCAAATAATTCCAAGGCTAGAAAATAGGATATGCTCGCAGGGCAATCACTCGAAAACGTCAAGGGAAGTGAGAAAATATCCGTGTCATTCTGTGTCATCCGTGCAAGAGCGGCGAGGAGTTGGCCATAACTGCATGAGATACAAGAACATTTATGGATATACGTTGCAATCCAAGCGATCACTAAATACCGCATGTATTTCGCTTGTTTGTCGGATGTCTTCCTCATTTCGAGTCTCGAGTAATTATTAAATCTGGCTCCGAGAAGAATACGTTCTCTGTAACTGTAGTGTCTAGCATAACTGGCAAAATGGCAATTATTGTCTGAAAAAGCTTGCTCTGATTGAGTGGAAGCCGATAAAGGACCGTAATGCTCATTTTAAAGGAAAGTGACATCGATGTATACACTCTAACTTTACGCGCAGATAACCGCGATAAGGATAAGTTCTGTGCGGAACTTCAACTATTTAACAATATTTTTGTTGAGGTGACATGGTCATGATTGGTCCGATCTGCCAATGGAGAACACCTCTTTGCCTAACAACGTGAAATTTTATTATTAATACATGCTTCGGGGTATTGCAAAATAATCACATGAAACTCTCCGGATAACCAACATTTTAACCAGATTTATGTGAAGATTCCGTATAATTCCCGTATATCGTTCCCATCAGGGCATAATTGGTAACCTTCATGGATTAGATCATATTATGGTTCGATTCAAGATTCGTATAAAATTGACAGTTCGCAAAAAACATCTTCCAAGATTTTTCAACTATCTCAAATTAAAAGGAGACAGTAAGTGCATTTCAAATCGAATTATTGAAGCAATGAAACGAAACGAACATTTGAAACATATTGAAACAAACATCTCTGGAACGGCTGATGTGAATAAGGATCCCAACAAAACGAATATCTCCAAAAGTCAACCATTTCCACCCTAGAATATGTTAGTAGGAAATGAGCTATTTAGGTATCAAATGCAACTGCCCAACTGTCTAAAAAAACTGCCAAACTATTTTACTTTGAAAAATTACGAAGGCAGCAGTATGGCGGGGCAATATTGGAGCGATATGGCTTAAAAAATGGAGATGGCGGAATGGAGATGAAGATCGATTAGGCGATAATAAAAAACTATTCCGCCTTCTCCACAAAGGAACTATCACCCGAGGAATGAATTCATTATAAATTCATCTGTAACTCGTTCTAAAACTCCTTTTATACCTTAGTCCGTCGGACATCATTATATCCCTATCGAAAAGATAGTATTTCAGAGAAGATCATTCGACTTATGAATTTTATCTGTGTATAGGTCTGTGAGTATATGGAGAACTGATAGACTTTTTCGAAATAAGAATTGGTATTCGTCAAGGTTGCATCCTTCCCATTATAATATTCAACTAGATATAATAGATAAGATAATGAACATTGCTTGTGGGGACTTAAGAGGTGTGCAAATCAGTCCAAATCACAATACCACAAACCTTGAATACGATTATGTTGTAGTCTTTTTTTCTTACAATTAAGACAAAAAGCAAATAATACTGAATAATGTCCACAACTGCAGCGAGAATCGGAATCAGGATTAACGTAAATAAAATGAATCTTTTCTTTATATACACAAGAAGCTGATAAAATACTTATTTTAATCAATTCATCGTCAAACGGCCAAGCGAAATTACAACATGGGATACCAATAGCTAGAAATGTGTCCTTCCGGTTAGTGAAATTTTTATAAAATCGCCTTGAAATCACTGTAAAAACGAAAGACTATATAGCTGCAATTCGTTCGATCTTACTATATTATTGCGAGACATGGCCGATGAAAGTGGAGAATATTACGAAGATACCTTTGACCACTCATGTCTCATTTTATAGGCCCACCGAGCGAATAAAATCTCACATGAATATATCCACCTTCACTTAAATAACACCCGCATTATTAGTACCGTCACAGAACCTAGCTTTCGCTGATTAGAGCATGTTCTTCATCGCTGAGCACAGAAAACTCTATTAAACTTTGTGATGGGTGGCGCCAAAAGTGAGGTGGGTAGTAAAGATCTGAAGTGATCAGAAAAGATTTCGAACGTATAGATGGACTAATACGGTGGAAAAAAGAAATGGTTTCTTTAACGATGGCGTTAAAACGAATAGCTTGGAAACGTCTTATTCTTGTAGCCAGCGCAGCCAGCTTAATTAGTAATGGTGAGAACTCTTAGAAGGTACAGAATATAAAAAATTCTAAGGGGAAATTCAATTCTAATTCTTAGAAAGTACAAAAAATTATAATTGTTCTAAATTTCTAAAATTCTAATTGCTGCAAAATAAATCTAAAAAATATGAAAGAAAAAATAAAAATCCAACAAAATTACTTGAAGCAATATGAGTGCATAAGAAATGGGAAGTATCAGAAGTAGTTTTCTTTGCCTCATCTTCAGTGTCTTCAATGTCTCGTCTAGATGCAACAGTTGATATATTAGTCAAGCTGAAAAAAAATTTAAAATTAAATTTAAAATTAAAATTAAATTTAAAAATGTGACAAATTTTTTTTTTCTTCTATTTTCCTTATTAAATAAGAAAATAAAGAAATTAAAAAATTCTTAAATATTTTTTAGGCAATTTTTACTTGATAATGAATTATAAAAATAACTAAATTCTTTGCATTTTTTTAAAATTTTTTAAAAAATAATTAAATGTAAGTATAAAATCGTCAATAAATTTTCGGCCATCAAAACCTAAATAATAATATTACGTTAGTGTATTAATCTGGATTGTGCTTTCTTTTTTTAAGAGCGTTTACCACTGCTGGTTAGATTTGCTAAGATAAATTTAGCTAGAGAATTACTTGGCTGTAAAAATACTGATGGGTTTACCAGTATCACTCATATTTTTGAAGGACAGATTTATGCCTCACCATCAGAACTCCAAACTGAACAAAAAACCTATTCTAATTGCATCGGTCGGATTTGAATCCAAGCCATTCTCGATTCTCGGTGGCAGTTATTACGCCAATGAGCCACTGACTGACCAATGTGCAATGTGCAAGTGTCCGAAAAAACATTCGTTTCCTATACAATTTGCCATACTTTCCAAAATCTCTCTCAATCCCTATTAAACAGTGTCCTTTATTTCCTAACCTAAATTCCACTCATATGGTACCATTTTACCCTTGCGAATTATCTCGATTCTTTTTCAATCTTTCTAACTCTTTTTCAGGCTTCTTGTATTAATATATCTTCAAAAAATCTTTCTAAAGTTCCAAAAAACCTCATTGTACCATAACTCATTGATTGAATTACCGTAAACATCCTTATATGACCTTAATTCCTTATAAGCCAGTACCTTGGTTTACAAGAACCTTTTATAATCCTTCAATCTCCCAAAATCTCTTTGATCTTCTTTAAATCTTTTTAACCTAGATTCAGTCCTTATCAATCTCATCTCAACTTTGTTTTCTAAAATTTCTTATTAGCCTCGCATTATACAATTGCCATGGCAGCAGTAAATTGTATAATGAAATTGAAAAAAGCGACAAGAATCACGAGAATCAAAGAATTTTTAAGGAGGAAAGGTTTTTAAAGAGTACAAAGGAAATATGACAAGTTTTGAATAACAAGAAATATACCGAGGTTCGAAATATACCGAGGTTGAATAATTTGCTATAATAACTTTCTCAGAACCTGCCTCTTAAAGATAGTTGAGTGATTTTTAAATACTCTTCATCACAAGAAATAAGACCCAGATTTCAACCTCGGAATCATTAAAAGAGTCTTTAAAAAATCTTAATGCTGATCTATTGTAACTTTATTTCCAAGTGATCCTCTGGCAAAAATTCCTTAAATAAGAGCAATGAGAGGTAATAAGCGACTGGTGATAATTCTATTAATTTTACTTTCCTGCAGTTCATTCCCATTAGTTTCAGAATTATTATAAATGAAGATTAAACGGATAGCAAAAAAATTACTTTGATGATGGTTTTGAATTCGTAGTTGAAGCAGAAGCATTAACATCATTACGACGTCGACGAACAGGTTTATTGCGTTTGCTCATTTCATATACATCTTCACCATGTACTGTTTTTATATGCTTTCTTAATGACGATGGATCAGTGTAACTTTTCGAGCAATCTGCCATAACACATTGATATGGTTTCTAAAAAATTTCTATACTAGCCGATTATACTCAAATATCATCTAGTTCGAAACAAAAAGACACCATGATTTATAATTACACAGAACGAATAAACATTCAACTAAACCCTGTAACAGATGGGCAAAACGAGGAGAGTCAATCAAAACCAATACTGTTAGGGTAGATTTTGAATACCTAGAGATATACGAGTTTAAATGGTAGAAAAAAATTACGATCTCAGTTATTTTAAGGATTGAACGGATCAAAAGGCTTGGAAATGCATTAAAAAGCCACCAACAGAACTAGCAAAACCAATAACAGTTCGACTTGCTAGAAAAAGGAGATGATAACAAATATATAAAATAATATTTAATTACTGTATCAGAATGGGTACGATTTTGGTGTTTTGCTCGATCCGATGCATTACTAAAAGCTTTCCCACAGTTTGGAAATTCACATTTATATGGTCTTTCACCTGTGTGTGTTCGCATATGAGTTTTTAAATTTTCTAATCTGCTATATGATTTGTCGCATCCTGGATACTGAAAATTAATTAAAATAAAAGCTAAACCAAATTTTCTTCTGCAAAAATTTTAAACATAAATAAAAGGATTTAAAAAATAAAATTAAATGTTCTTTAAATAAATGAAACGTCATTTTTTAATGCTGGGCCTAGGTCGCATAAACAGAAAATTTTAAAAAGTTCCACTCTAATTAGCAAGTGAAAACAGCCAAATTAGTAATGATATAAATCAGAAGAATAGAAAAAACAAAAGAAGGAAAGGTAAATTCTTTGAAAAATTCAGCATTAAAATACAATTGGACTAACAGAGCAAACATTTGGTTTCTCTCCAGTATGTCGTCGCACATGAACTACTAGCATATATTGAGCTTTAAATGCTTCTTCGCGATCACAGCCTCGCCATAAACAGCAATATTTTCTCGATGCCTAAAACAATTTTTACAACTATTTTTATATAATAAAAAAAATATCTTTGGTCAGTTATGGTAAATTCGTGTAGCTCTGAAATAATAATAGGACTTTTCTAATAAATCAGATTTGCTAAAAAAATTTTTAAGAACAATTAATTAATCTACCTGAATATGTGAAAGAGTAACATGATCAACAAGTGCTTTCTGTGTACTGAATGTTTGAGTGCATCCTTGCCATTCACATCGCAAATCTTCTAATGTTTCCACATCAACAACTTCTGCCAAATTTCCATTTGTGACGATTTGTGGGATATCCGTTGAAACATTTTGTGTCAAAAGTGATTTATTTCCTCTACAAAATGATCAGTAGTAAAATAGCGATGAGGAAAATTCGACGTTCTATCTATAAGTATACGCAGTAAATTCTAAAAAAAATTAACCTTGAGGGATGCGGTGATGAATTTTTACATGATTCTGACTTTGTCATTGAATTAGATTTTCTAACAAGCCTTTCTGGTTGATGAAGAATATTATTACCAAACTTCTGCACATGAGTCCTTACAACATGTTCATCTTCATGAATAGCAACTTTTGAATTTCTAAATTTAAGCCTTTTATCTCATATGAAAATCATTTTTTAAATATCCAATTAAATTGGAAAAAAAAATTGATACGAAATATACGAAATATAAATATACGAAAAATTTTAAAAAAATTCATTGCCTGCGATCTGAAGTCGTATTGAAACAATCTTTAGGAAGTTCATTTGCTTCCTGAAATATATAAAAATTTATATAAAAAATAAAATTTATAAATCTATTTATATTCATATAATTCTCTCCTAAATATCGACAATGGTATATGAGCCAATATGTTTAGAACAAATATGGGTTCAGTCCCTAACTTATAATAAGAATAAGCCTGTCATTAAAGAGAAATTATCTCTAACTTTTAAAAAAAAAAATTAAAACTGAATTTCCGAATTCTGATGCGAACCATGCTTCATCGAGTGTTACCGAACGCAGAAGGAAGTAGAATGGTCCAATGAGTTGATGCTCTCATTTAAATCATCAGTGCTTCGAATCTACTGCCGGCAAAAATAAACCCATCTTTAAAAAATCTGGGTGGTACTGGCAGCTCATCTTTACTTCTATCGTAAAAATATCCCTATTCTATCCCTAGAAAAATCTATTTAGTCTGAAAAAAATAAGAGCAGCGATTCTAACCAGAAATGGTGACTATTCTTGGAAAAAAAAAAGTCAAAACATTGGAAGATTAAAAAAAATGAACCATGTTCATGGCTGATGAAAAATTTGTTGTATTCATACGTGTTCGAGCCAACGTATCACGAAAACCATTAATAACAATTTGTGAGTGAATTAAAGTTTGATTATTCTCAAGAATAGGTGCAGGTGTGATAAGAGACGATCGTACTGATGATGATGTTGATGTTCTTTCTGATGCGCCACTATCGGAAAATGTATGTAAACTACTTATTGAACGTTCATTTTTCCGTTTACGACTGCAGTCACCAACTGCCAAATCTGCAATAGCAGATAAATTACAATAAATTCTCCTCTTTTTTATTCACTTTACAATTTTCAAAAGGAAATTTAACATTAAATTAAAGTGAAATACTAATTGAAATTGAATTTTAAATTAAGCAAACATAATATTTATCAGAAAAGAAGAATTTTTAAAAGATTATGCGATAATGAACTGAAAACTGAAAAAAAAGAAAATTTTTATGAGCGCCTACATCAAAAAATTTTATTTTCAAAGTTCTATTATATTTCCGTTTAGATGAAATTTAGCAAAAATATAATTTTTTATCAAAAATACACAAATAGAAATAATTGTCGATTTATTAAGTAATAAAAAAGTACGGATAGAAAGTGGTTCCTAATTGTGGATTTATTAGGGAAGACCTCATTAAAAAAGTTGGGTTTGACAAAGAATTAAAGAATGCTTTGGCCAGAATCAAGAGACAAATATTAAGAATATTCATAATTTAAGGACCTCAAAATTGCTTAATTATAACATCTGCAGCAACGGATTAACCAACCTGATAGAGATGGAACATCCTCGGCCCAAATTTGCTCAGTCTAAGATTTCGAGAGATAGTTTTTTTTTTTGCAGCAAAAATTTTTTACCCTTTTTTTCTAACCTTAAGAGAATTATCTGCTTCAACTGCAATTCTGCAATTCTTCTAAAAAGTATTATATATTTTTGCGAAATTTGGTTTGATAATTTCCTCGATAATGAGAAGAAAAAATTTCTGGACCAGAACAATATATAGAAAAGGACGGATCTTCCAGCACTTACACTGGTTTAGGACGTCAATGGTTCCACTAAAGTCGGCGGTCCTTTCATCTTTGTATTCTATTTGGTTTCCATATAAATTTGAAATTACGAATAATTGTGTCAATCCTTTCGAATCACTAATAATGAAAATTTCAACGTTGAAAAATTTTTTATCAGCTTATCCGACCCCTCTCGATGTGATAGTCGCATCAAAAATTTATCAAGTTTTATCCTGGATTTTTAAAGTTGACATGCCTAACACTGACTGGTGCAATAAGAGAAAGAATAAATTTTGAGATTTTTTTTCTTTAATTTTTGCATTTAATTGGCTTACAACACCAACAGCACATCAATTAGTTCTACAAGATATAATAATATTCTAAATTTGTATTAATTTCCTTTAACTTGATTGGTTCTTCATTATATTAATGTATTAGATCCCTTTCAAACGGTGTTCACTCGTATACTGGTTAAATTTAAATTGGTACCAACCACCAATATTTGTATTTCTCTGAATTTTAGATTATGACTGCATTAATTTATTGTCAAAGTGAATTAGGACTCTGATTAACATTAACAGCCTTATTAAGATCTCTGCCTAAAAAATATTCCATGAGGTTCACCAAATCTTTAAAATCGTTCAAAAAAAATAATGCGATAAATAAAATCGAACTATTTACTTATGGATTTCACCTAATAAAATATAAAATATCTTTAAAAATGTTTCGTAAATCTGCCCAAAGATACTTTCTTATAAGAAGGATTTTAAGAATTTTAACAAAAAAAATGCCGTAAAGCTAAATTCTGAGGCAATTTTAGGAATAATCTTAGGAACAAATTCTCCGAATCTAAAAAAAGAGAAATATTTTATAATTATTCTTCTAATATTTTTTTGCGCAATAACGAAACGTCTTGAATAACCATACGATTAAGTGAATGTTTTAATTCTTTGAATAATGTTGAGCTCAATTTATTCGATATTCACGTAAATCATCGCTAAACCTGACAACATCCCATAGATCTTTTGCAAAATATATATATCGCGCTTTCTCTTGCATTACCCGTATCTTTAATTTATAGATATTTTAAGCACTGGCCGTAAAATCTGAAAATTATCTTTAGCCAACCATATTTTCAAGAGATCTCTCTAATTCTCCTCCGATTAGTGTTATTTGTGGAAATAACAAGTAACAAACCGACAATAATCTTAATTTTTATTGTAGAGTTTTAGTCAAAAAATTATCAATCTTAAACTGTCTAGAGAGTTTAAAAATAAATATATAGCTTTTCTTATTAACATGCTTCTTCTTCTTCTAACAGCTCTCAGCGTTACTAGTTAGGCTGGTTCCAACGTCTACAAGGATAAGACGTTTCCAAGCGGTGCGGTCTGATACCATCGTCGACAGTAATAGAAGACATTACTTTTTCCATCGTCTAAGTCCATATATTGATATGCAAACGACTTTCATTCATTAGCATCATCTATAGTCTCTTTTTCAAGATTTAGCAATAAATCCAATAAAATTAACTAAAGAGTTGTATATAGTTGTAAATATTCTTTTGCACTCATCAAATTCGAATCCTAAAATTAGCAATGATATAGGAAGATTCAGGTGATATGGATCCATTAAGGATAAAGTGAATTAAATAAGATCTATTTAAAACTTCTAAGACCCGTAACTACCCATTTCTTTTGAAATTCTTTTACTTCAGTTTAAATTTGAATAGTATTAGCCGTAATGGATATGAAAACCAATATGTACATAGCACTAATTATTGTGTGAATTATGATCTATTTTTACACAGTTTTTTCTACTTTTAAAAATTAATTAAATAGAATTCATAATGTTAATGTTTAACATAAACATATCCTAAATTCATCCAGACTATGACCAATGTTTTAGATTTTTTTTCCATTTTTATGTTTTTATCATTTTGTCAATATATAATATCTTACGTTCCTGCTAGTAAAAATTAAATGCATTGCCCCACACGAACATTTTTTCCAAAAAAAAGTTTTATCGATTATGACTTTAAAAAATAATTAAATTTCTATTTATAAAAAAGTCTGTCTAAGAACAAATAATACCATTTTACAAAAAATAATATAAATGAATCGAGCAAATAAGAAAAACGGAATTGTCAATAAAAAAACTTCTCAATATAAAAATCTCAATTTCCATTCGTTATTTTATTTAAATATTATCAAATATTATCAAAATAAATGATAATAATGATCAAAAAAATATTAAGGAAAGCTTAGAAAGAAAAAAAAATAAAAAAAAACCTTCAACTGATGAAGAAATTGATGGATTTTGTAAAGCTTGCAATGACTGTAAATTTAATGAGGCATAAGACGGATGATGATGGTGGTGATGATGGTGATAAGCAGCTGCCGCTGATAATTGAGGCAAAGCTGTCGTAAAATTTGGTGATGCGAACGCTGCCATATTTTGTCGCTGTTGATAAATAGCCATAAATGCTGCCTGCCTAAAAATTCATTTATAATTTTTTTCCATGAAAATGCTTTTTTAACCCAAATGTTATGAAGCAGAATGGCTCAGTGGGTCGTTGTTCTCGTTTCGAAGCGCAAATACTTGAGCATAGCTGCCGACAGGCAGGGACGAAGTAAAGTGTTTTCCGGATAATATTAGCGATTATTTCTATACCAAGTGGTAACTTAACAAAAATTTATCTGATCCGACAAATTAGCTAGGCAAATCTAAATAATCAGAATCAGAAAAAAAGCCAAAAAATCATTTCAAATCAGGTCGAATAAATAAATAAAAGATTAACCAATTTACTTTAGCTTTAATGAAAAATTTTCCATCAATAAAACTTTTAATTGAACGACAAATGTCTAAAAATGAAAAGATTTAGAAAACTACAGATAAATTAGAGATAAAAACATTAAATATAACTGAAGAAAGAAAAAAAAGAAAGATACGAAACAAAAATTTAAAAAAATGAACATATGACGAACGGAAAATGAAAAAAAAAGGCCATAAAATAGTGTAGGAAATGGAGAAAAAGAAGAGGAACACTGAGATAAAAAGGATTTAAAAAGATCGATCAATATTATTTAATATTTAATATTATATAAAATAATAATAACTGTAAAAAATAGTAATAATAATAAATAAAAAAATAAAACAACAAAAAAATTAAACTAATAAAAATTAATAATAATGAAAGTAGGCGATTTCGCGAATATTAAAATTAATAACCATTATGATTACAATAATAATAATATAATAATTAGTAAGATAATAAATAAAAAAACAACAATAAATAAATAAATAAAATGAAAATAAACAAAAACAATAATAGCAATAAAACAATGTATTATTAAATAAGTAATAATAAATAAGAAACTAAGATAAATATTTGAATTTAATAAAATAAATTAAAAATTAAACTTAAAGTGGAATTAAATCGAAATTTTTTCCCCCTCAAAAACATCCACCGTCACTATTGCCGATTCGTCTGGTTCGTCGGACCAAACAAAGTTACCGAGGAGTCACCTGGAGAGAGAAGCGCATATAGATCGCTGACACTGCTAACTGGAATTTTTAAAGGTAGGCTTACTCCTGCAGCGTAATAACTCACGCAGTAAGCCATTCCACTCGCGCAAAATTGCAAGAAATACAGAAAATCTTGTTTGTTTGAGGGATGGAATGGCTTAGCAGGCTGATGTTCCGGCTTCTAAGCACTGATACTGCGGCCTTGGGCCCTACTCACGGCAAACCTACCCCAAATGCCTAACTACAAAACGATTTCTTAATTACTGAGAATTTTTTTTAAAATTTTGCAAAAATTAAATTCAGAAAACGAGATAGCCGTTAACGAAGAAGTGCGGCCATGGCCCTATCCTTTGCAAAGGATGGTAGCAGCTGTCAATTCTTTATGTTTTTACCGCTATAAAAATTTGCTGTGATGTGATAGCGTGTTCGGGTAACGAGATTTTATTTATTTTTCCTTAAAATTCTCCGCAATGCCCGTTAAATACCGTCCGCTGTCCCCTGGACCTGGTGTTTTCTCCAAGAACCCCGCTATCCCCGCCACGAAGTACCACGTTGTCGCGTTAGTCATCTCCTTTAGATTTCTTCATGTCCTCTTTACCTTCATAACAAGAGCTTGGTATCTCCTATACTCTCTTAATATTATAATCGAAACTCTACCTTAACACTCCATTAAAATGAGTTATTTCTTCTATTAGCTCACACTATTATTGGTTTGGCTTGCTTCATCAACGACTAAAGTTAGAAGTCTCTAAACCTCGCGATTCGATGCCCATCCTGAAAATAAATAGAGGCACCCCTTTTCCGACCTTCTAAACCCATTGTCCGCCTGGCTGCCGTATGTTCAAATTCTTTTCGGATCGACCTATCAATCCAGGTTTTGATTGGTCCTCTTTTCGCGCGCCATCCATCATAGTATTCAGCAAGTAGCGAGATTTCTGCGTTTATTCCTAAGGGAGACGAATGGCCAAATCAGCGCTTTGTGATAATATTATTAATACTTCAGAAAAATTGTAAAATATGAATGGATTTTCTCGAAAATTTTCGTCTATTATAAAAAAAATTATTAGTGATTAATCATTAATTAATTTAAATGAAATGAATTCTCAAAATTTTCGTTAAAATAACGTAGAAAATTTTATAAAATATTAGTTTTTTTTCAAAAGTAGAAAAATTATAAAATCGTTTTTTTCGTTTTAAAAAAAAGAATGATGTGAAATTTTTGTTTCTTATTGATTATTTGACAACAATAATGATGATAAATTCATGATAAATGATAAGTGATAAGGAAATCCCACAAAATGATTTTTTTCTTTTTTTGGCAAACAAAAAGTAATCATTTTAGCGAAAATTTCTTGTTCGTTACTTTTAATATCGTTTTTTTAAGAAAATTTTAATTGAATGCAAACGAACAAACTTTCTTTAAACAAACTTTTAAAGAACTAACAAAATAACTACGAATTTAATTTAATTTTAATTTTAAAAACATTTTTAAAAGATTGAAAAATCACTTGTAGTACAAACTATTTTCACCTTAATCTTTTCTTTTTCTTATCATTCCTTATCATATCAATATTATATGAACTCAATATAAAAATTCCAAAATCCGGATGGTTTACTGGAGTTTCACGTATGAGGGTTTGATTATCTTCAAATCGCATGCTTTTATTATGGCGAATATGATGTTTCTTAAGCGCGACGATAATGTGATAAATATATAAAATAGACCTGATAAAACAATTCAGAAATAGTTTTAGAGCTGAGAATGTGTTAAGGCAGAGCCAACTTTCATTCGGCTGTATGCACACTGAGCGAGATTTTGGCTCTGGCAGCATGGAAGATAAGACATTATGGAGGCAGGTCGGAACTCAGGCCATGTCTGTCCAGACTTCATCCAGACTACCGCAAGGACATCACTCGTCTATTGGAAGTCCTTCCTCTATTCGGGTCTTGAGCAGTCAATATAATCTGTTGAAAGGAAGATGGATCATTTCTCGTGTCTCGGATAATTCTCGAGAAAACAACGTGATGAATATCATTTCTGATATGGAAACCTGTTGAAGACTGTGTTGCATAAAGCTATGTGGAACTATTCTGATAACCGTACTTCAGTCAGACTGATTATGCTCAATCTTCGATCTTCGATGGAGAGAGCTGTTCCTGTTGCGGCGCTGAAACTGGCAGCCTTAACGGATCAAACCATATAGTAGTTGGAACCAAGATTCACGTGGTGCTGATAATGCATACAGAACTATGTCCACCAAAGTGATATAAAGTGATATTTTAAGTTTTAAGTGCAATAAACGTATATATCTGAATCCACATCTATGAAAGCACTGAAAGCACGGCTGCAATACTTTCCGATATCGTTAACGCAAATGTTTGAGCGTAGATGACTGCAATCATGTGAAGTGCTATGCGCTTGGCGAGCTTATGCAAGAATGCACAAAATAGATAATTTTCTGATATTTTCCAATCTCATTTCGCATGTCATATGGTAGAATTATAGCGCCTACCATAGACAAATAAATGTGAACCTTCTTTTAGTGGCTGATTTCACGGCAATGCAAGGAAGCCTTTCAAGACGGAAGAAAGCACCTCTTACTCCAACGATCCAAGCTGAGATTCCATCTTTCGCCCAGCCATTAATCCCAATATTTAAAGTCTTTAACGTTGAAGTATAGAAATCGCGTATTAACAGTGCGTGATATATAAGATCCCTAGTCCGAAATAATTCCATCTTATTTAGACTGATCTGAAGTCAAAGTCAGTTATCGCTACCTAATCTATGTTGTAGTTCTTTGTAGCTGTTAGTGGAAAGGATAACATCAATTCAGTGTTGATATGCTTCGGATTAATTTTCCAGCGGAGAAAAAGGTAGCCGAACCTATTGCACAGCTGAAATTATACTGGAAAAAGCACAGCCTTGACATATACCGATTTGTATTCTGATGAGTTCTGTCAGTGTACCATTTCCACATACATTCTGCACTCACACATTTGCATGCGCCGATAAAAATATTTTAACAAGCCTTTTATCTTCTCTGCAATACCGTCGTCTTCTAAGGCTTACCAGAGTGTTTGCTATTGATAGAAGCCAAAACTGATGAATATGCAAAAGTAAGCTACTTGATATAATGTTGCAATACTCTTCTTAGTGAAAATGCGATCAGCCCAACCGCAACCACTTTCTGGCCAAATTCTGGTTTGGTACACATAGAGTGCGCCATGCTATCGTGCACTCTGCGAGTCCATTCAGCAAAAAAATAGGCGAAAATCGTCTCGAAAATAGCTAGCAACTTGCTTTGGTAGTCGCAATGCACCCTATCAAGTCTTTCGGGGATTAGGAGATTCACCTTACTGCAATCGCATGCTATTTGGTAAAATTTGGTATTTGGTGTTTGATACATGGTAGTTTACTTTTTTTATATATGTTGTCAAAAATAATAATACATATGGTAATTTTTTTGCAAGGCAAATAACCTTTCAAATTTATTAATATATCTATAGGCAATGATTTGAAAGAGGGAGTCCATTAGTAAAATATCGGAAATTATCATTATCAAATTATCAAATTATCAAAATTACCATATTCTACTTTTCTTAATTTCTTATATTTCGCAATTTTATTTTCGAAAAAATCTTAAAGTCTTATTGTTCATATAATTTTTTTAAATTAAATTAAATTATAAAAATTTGTTTTTTAAAAATTTTTGATTTTTCGGAGAATTTAACAATTCAAAATTAAATCAGCAAGAATTTGCAAAGATTTTCTATAGAATTTCCCTATTTAAATATTTGCAATTATTCTTTTTCTATTCAAAAATAAATTTAATTTATTTGCTTTCAAGAAAAAAACGATTTATTTTTTTATGAAATCTAAAAATCATTTCTAAAAAATTATTTTTCTCTTTTTTTGCCACATTACTTAATTAGTTATCCGATTAGGAATTGATTTGTATATCTCGCTACTTGCCAAGTTCTATTACGTCAAAGGCAAGGAGGACCAATCAACCAAGCAGGACTGATTAAATCAGGAAAGATTTTGAAAGATTATAGGTGAACCAGCAATATAGGAATTTAGATGTTGAATCGAATGGTTTTAGACATCTTACCATTGTAGCCAGCAAAATTAGCCTAACCAATATTGGTGAGAGCTGCTAGAAAAAGAGGATAATATGGAGTTTTCTCAAAAAGTTAGAATCTACCGCTATGAGATTTTCGCCAGTAAGTCGTTCAGGGAAAAAGAATAAATGTTCAGGAACCAACAGCAATTTCTAATGCTTGATAAACTCTGCGAGGCGTTAAAAGCTTGGACTAATACAGCCAAGAAAATTTTATAGGAGGACCAGCAATATATGGGTTTAGACGATGGAAAAAAGAATGGTTTCTCGATGAAAAAGGAAATTGTCAGCGAGGCATCGGATCGAACAAATTGGAAGCGTCTTATCCTTGCAGCCAGCGAAGGCACCTAACCAGTAATGGCGAGAGCAATTAAAAAATGATGATACGATCAAAAATAAAAAAAATTAATTTAATTTGCTTTTGCTCTTTTGATAAAATAAAATTTCTTGCATTGCAAATTTTCAATATAATTCACTAATTTTTTCAAATAAAGAAAAATTTTTTTCAAATATGAAAACCAAATTTTTCGATAAATTTTTGATTGAAAACGGACCAAAATTATAAATTTTATAAAATTTTATGAAATTTTATATTAATAATTTTAAAATTTCAAAATAATGAAGCAGAAATTTGAATTATTAGAACATTGAAGAAAAATCCACCGAGTTATATGTCACATATTGATTGTAGAAACGTCTCTCAATTAGTCTCGTCAATGAACGTGAATAAGCCTCTCAAAATCTAATGTTTAGAGCCTGGATGGTACTAAGGATCTATTCTTGGTAGAAAGTGTGTACGCTTTCATATTTAATTGAGGAAAACGAATTGGAATGGTGAATGAAATTGTTAGAAGATGAAGAAGAAATTCGATATATTTTAATATAATACTTAATATACTTCAATATATCACATTATTATCGTTGAAAAATTTTTCATTCCATTATGTTCATATAAATAAATTAATATTAATAAAAGAAGGAAAATGAACATCCGTTAAAGAATAAAAAAAATAATCAACACATATCCAATCAACCGACCAACCAACCATCCAACCATCGCATTTAATGTAAAAAAATATTTATATAAAATTTCTGGTTGGATATCTTTTACAATCTTTTTATTGTTTTTATACATTTTTTTAAACAATAGAAATTGGTAGATTAAATAATTTATCGAAGAGATAAAAAATTTACCGTTAATTACATTTTCTCCTCAATTAATTATTTATAAATAAACGAATTGCGACGGAAAAATGCTTTTTTTTGAAAACTGCTCACCATTTCTGATTAGACTTATTCCGCTAGTTTATCGAATTTAACCAGGAAATTATTTGTCTGAGAATGATATTTGGGTGCTTAACACGGATTTTTAGAAGCCTGCGGAAAATAGAACCATAACATCGACGCTCCGAATTGAGAGGTACAACTCACTGAGTTATTCAACTCTCATAGAAAGTATTTTTGATATAATTCATATGTTAAATTAAAATTAGCAAATAAAATTTTGAATTCTATTTGTACAAATAAGTATAAAAATAATAAAAAATAATAGTAAAAATAATAAAAAGATTAGATTTCAAACAATAATAAATTTTTATAAAATAAAATAAAAATTGATAAAAATTATTACTGTGGAATGGCAAACTGTGGTGAACCAAAGAATAGCTGATTATTATTATTCGTTTGTGGATTGCGTGTTGTCGTTCCGCATGTGACGGGGTTAAGGCCGCCGCTACACTGTGTTAATGCTGCCGGTATTCGATTGCAATTACGCTGAGCGCTTGTTGCTGCCTAAAATTTTTTAAAACTTTTTTGTTAATTTAACCAATAAAAAAAATTGAAAAAGTAAAAATAGTTGAAAAAGTTGAAATAAAGATTTTTAAAAAATTAAAATCATTTTTTTTTCCCAAAAATCAAAATAAATTCTTTAAGAAAATTCAAAAAATTAAATATTAAATTTGAAGAATCAATATGAATTAATATTAAATTAAATATTTTAAATATTTAATAGCGTATTTATTATGGGAATCGGTGATTTTCTATTTAAAAATTATTGCTAATGATATTAGTGATATTGGATGTCAATGATAATGATGCTATTGGATGTTATTATTATTCAGCAACATCGTTATCATATTTATCAATAGAAGCAAACATTTGATGGTTTTTTATCCTTTTATGCTTTTTTATGATGGATTTATTTCTTTTGAATATAGGTTGATCGTTTGAACAATCATTTTTTACAAATTATTATATACGAAGCAAGTTGGATAATCGAGTAATTGGCTAATTTTTGAAATTTTCAAAAAATGCCATTCAATTTTTCCATTTTAAAAGGTTTTTTAAATTAAATTTATCTTTGAAAAAATTTATTTATTAAAATAATATTCTGAATTTTTTCCATTTTTTTTAATTTTTAGATTAAAAATTAAAGAAAATGATAATTTAAAATTAATGAAAATTTTTAATGGAATATATTTTTTGAAATATTTCGTCATTTATAGATAAAAAACTATTCAAACATTCATAAACTTAAAAAAATATTTAAAAAATAAAAAAACATTAAAAAAAAATATTCATAAATATAAAAAAAAAAGTAAAAAATAGTAAAAACTTTATAAAAAAATCTCATATTGCTTCAAAAATATTTTTCAAAAGAAAAATAGCAATTAAAAATTTTTTAAAATACAAGGAAATTAAACTATTTCGAATGTTATTTTATTTCTTTTTTTTTTTTCATCATTTCGATTAGAAACGACCATTTTAGAGTTTTTCTTTTTTTGCAACAATAAAACATTGGCAACGAGAGGAGAGGAAATCAACCATCAGACATTACTGGTATATACATATAATAATAAGAATAATAAATAACAACCACAATACTAATTAATAAAATTATAGCTATAATTAATTAATAAAAATAATATTAATAACTCCAATAATAATTAATAATAGTGGTAATAATAATAATAATAACTGATAATAATAACTGATAATATTATATAATATTATACTTAATAATATCCTATAATATTTTGATGATGGCAAAAATTTTTTGAATGCCTTGTTCATTCCATTATTATTCTCAAAAATTTTATTCCTAACACTAATATAAAACATTACTCATCCTCGTTCTTCTTTTATTTACTTTTAAATCGTTCCATTTTATGCTATCTTTTAAAATAAAATAAATTATTGTTGAAATTGATAAAAAAAAGTTAGAAAGGAAGAAAAGAAAGCACCTCCGTATGAATGAAATTCGGTTGAATGGATGAATGTAAGGATGGCGGTGAGAACGCTGAACTAAAATTCCACGAAAAATGTTGACAAGAAGACGGAATTGGAATATGATTTGACGTCGCTCCATCTGCGTAATATTCCACTGATGACATTCTTCTTCTTCCTTTACATTTGAAACGCGAATATTTGTATTTTTATCTGAAACAAATTTTCTTATATTTCAAATTAAAAGAAGTATATTTTTAAAAGAAAAGAAAAATATTCTTGCGTCTCGCGAAATTATAAAGAAATATATTTTTCGATAAAAAAAGAATTTTTTTCTTATTTATCCATCCGAATAAGAAATAATTCAGGTGAATGTTATGGTTGAAATCCTCTAAATTCCAAGTTTTACGGGATCCACAGAAAAAGTTTAGAGAAATGAAGGGCCGCAAGAATTGCCGATGGGAAGACCACCAGAAGCAATAGGAAATCACACTAAATTGTAGATGAGAATGTAAAAATTTATTTTTCACTTTGAAAAAAACCAATTCTGAATGTCACATAAAATTCTCAGCTGATAATCACAGGAAGAAAGGAGAAAAAGAATGGGAAAACAGAAGTTTTCTCTCTTTAGACTATTCGTTGTAGATTTAAAGAAGATGGAAGCTAAGAACCCTCTTCTCTTTGGTCTGTTTCCGGTCGCTGAAGATCTGTTTCTACTTTAATTTTAAGAGATACATGAAAATGAACTGTGGTATTTCAGTATTCAGTTAAGTAAGGAATAAAGATGCAATAAAGAAAAATGCCAGCCGAAATATTTGCCTGAATATTTTGGTTTGATTTCTTCATAATTGAATTTGGAAATAAGGATAAAAACAAGTCATTGGACTTCCAGAAACTTTGCGATCATATCAAAAGGCCATCTATGGCGTAGATAGGTGCTGGTAGGAAAAAGCAATACTGGAAGGCCTCTCATTCTGCCTGCAGCGACTTCAACAATAGTAAACCAAACTGGTTAAAAAAAATAGGTGCTGGTAGGAAAAAGCAATACTGGAAGGCCTCTCATTCTGCCTGCAGCGATTTCAACAATAGTAAACCAAACTGGTTAAAAAAAAAGTAATGAAAAATATTAATTTTATTAAGTAACTTATTATCAGGCGCATAGATGAAATCAATTGTGATGAAAGAGGAACTAGTTGAACAACTTCTCAAAAAATTCTCAACTTTCTCAAAACTATTATCTTCTATTTTCTATATTAACTTTTGGTGAGAGTCGTCAAACCAATCCTAACTCGTCATTTTTAAAAATATAACTTTTCGAATTGCTAATAATCGCCTTCTAATAGCTCTCACCATTACTGATTAGGTTGACTCCGCTGGCTTCAAGGATAAGAATCTCCAAGCTAATTGCTAATAATTACACAATTTTGTTACAAAAAATATCGATAGCAGCCAAAAAGAAATAAAAAAAGAATAAAAAAAGTAATGTAAGTATCCATTTACATTAAATAAAAAATTAATTTATTCATCCTGAAAGGGAAAAAATTATTTTGTAAAAATTACTCAAAAAAAAACATCTAATAAATTTTTTTTTATAACTGATTTTCTCTATGATAATAATAAAATAATAATAATTATATCAATGAAAATGGTAATGATAAAATAATAATGATAATGAAAGAAAACAATAGATAATAGATAATAAACATAATAATAAACATAATAAAAAAATAATAATACAATAAGGTAAACCCGCCATTCGAAAATCGGATGGTGCTGGCGATTCATTTGTACTTCTATCTCTAAGTGGCTTCCTGGCAAAAATTTGCCTAGTTCGACGAGCCAACGAAGCGAGCCTAATCAGGAATGGCCTTTTTTTGCAATGGATTCTACTATAGAACAAATTATTTCTCGCCTCTCAATAAAGAAAATTATCATAAATGGTTGTTAAATTTCGCTAAAAACTTGAATTCCGTAAAAAAGAATACTAAAATTTAATTTGCGATAAAAAAGTTAATTCAGATAAGTTAAGAAAATTTTATTAGTATTATGATAATTTTAATTATTATTTTTTATTTATAAAATTTATTTCTTTTTAATTGTTTATAATTCTCTATTATCATAAAAAATGAATAATAAATGATAATGATAATCAGTTATATAAAATATTTTATAAAAATTTTATAATTGCCATTCGTGATACATAAAACAAATAAATAAAATAAAATTACTTTTAAACGATACTTACTGCTTTTATTACAAATAATGCTTGGTATTCCCTCAATTTTTCTTACCTATTTTTCCCACTTTTTTATTTTCCGATGTACAAACAATTTCAACATTTTCAAGATTAATTATTAAGAAGCATACATATTTCATAAATATGTATAATATGCAGAAAAATTAGAAATTTTCCATTTAACGAATATTATACGCGATTTCTAACTTAAAAAAAAACTTTGAAGCATCAATAAGCGCTTCATGCACCAGCAGTCACCGATACACAAGTAGCTTAAGGCGAAATGGTGCGAAAATCGAAAATAGCTCGGGTTTGAACCAATACGCTTATCCTGCCGATCCAATACGCTTCCTTGGGTGGTTATGTGGTGAAAGGGAAGGGGATAGAATGACTTATTGGATTATTATTGTCATTTATTGTCATTTCGGAATGCCGATATTGAGGTTCGACTCAGTTAGGTGCATGCTTGTGAGAATCCGGATGATACTAGTGGCTCATCCGTATTTTTGTCATCAGATAACTCTCTGGTAAGAATTTTCTGGTTCGGCAACGCATCGAAGTGAACAAAAAGTGAACCGAACCGGAAATGGCGAATGCTTTCAGAAAAAAGTCTGTCAAATGCTTAATTAATTAATGTTCACCATTTGCTTAAATATTTTTTCGCTCATTTATTTGATTAATGATTCAAAATGGCGCGATTTGCAAGAATAATTTTATAATTATCAATCTCTGGCTTTTAAATGTAAGATCCATAGACATTGCTTTCATTGCTTTTACGAACGATATGCACTATACGTTTCTCCGCCTATTTTTTGATGTGATAATTTTTATCAGATGGTGTTAACGGCACATCTGTATTTCTACCTCAAAGGTGTCTCGCTTCAATAAAGATTACGGTCAAAAAAAAATCCACAAAAAATCACTGATTTAGGTAGACTTCAGCTGAAGAATAATGATAATGACTCATACTTTTTGGTTATATATATTAGTATTTCAATAGAATATTTAAAATACAAATAAATACAACATGAATGAATCGATGGATTCTTATATCCTTCTTATCGAAGAGAATTTAATATTTTTATGACTTTTTTCCCAGCACTCCACATTTTTAGTTGGATTCCTAATTGCACTGGTTTATCGGTTCAGATGAAATTTGCCAGTGAGCCATGAGGGTGAGGGAATAAAGGATGGATTGTTGGTGCAATAGGTTTCTTCTTGGAGTGGAACCACCGCAGCTTTCATGGGCGTTCGAGAAATAACCGTTGCTGAGCCGTTTCATCTCTTAAATTTTGCTCTCTCATTTGATATTTTCTCTTTACTTAATTATTTGTTTATTTTTTTTTAAATAATCGAACTGTTTCTTTTTTTATTACCATTTTTTTAAAATGTTCAATGTCGAAATAAATTTAAATTAAAATTTTAAAAAATAGAAAAAAACGAATTTTAATGAAACTTTTTTTAAATTTAAAATTTTTTTTGAAATCAATTGCATTTTAATGAATAATAATATCGATTTTCATTTTAAAAAATTCAAATTTGTCTTTTTTATTGAAATTTTTAATGAAAAATTCTTATTTGGAAAAAATTTTAAAAATAAAAATTCGAAAAAAAAAGCATATTTATTAAAAAATCAAACAAGAAATTTTTCGTATTTCAAACAAAAGAATTGAAAATAAATAAAACAGAAAATAAATATAACGAATGAAATGAACGAAAGCAAAAGAGTATTAATACATAAATCGTTGAAGCGATTCATTGCTACTTTTATAAAAAATCGTCTGACGCGCTGCACTGAACTATAATGCAATTTTTCGATCATTTTTTTTGCATTTTTGCACTTTTGCAAATTAACTTTTGCACTTTTGCGCTTATTGCACATTATATGCACATATAGAAGTGCACATCTGTTATCAAACAATCTTTTTCAAAGTAAAATTGTAACTGATAAATTTTACCATAAAAACTTAGAGACTCGCAGCTACAGTATCCGCAACTTTTAACAAAAAAATGAAATATTTGTGATTTGGCTTAATTTCAGGCTATTGCTGAAATGAAAAGAGGAAATAACTAAATCCAACATTTTTTAATAATAAATTATTTTAATCGAAATTCTTTGCGCACTTAAGGCTGAGAAAAATTCATTGGTGTTGAGCTTCAGATTTAAATGGGCAGCATTCTGGCGAGTCTTGCAATACGGCGGTGTTACCACCGCTTGCCGGCGCTCGCTCAAAAATGCAGCCAGCTTAGAACATATGTCAAGAACCTTGAAATAATAATGCTCTTAATACTGCTCCTTTCGCTGACACTTATGAAGAACTCGAACAGACATTATTAGATAGATTATCTGTTGACAATAATAGCGAAAATTGATCTTCAAATTAATAAAAACTAAGATGTAATTGTACACCAGCTGCTGGTGAGATCGCTCTTCCTATGAATTTATTATCGATCTACCAAAATTAGGTTTACCTCAGATCAAATGTTTTATCTAATGTGCGGATGATATTTCAGCTTAGGCAACTGTAAAAATAGAGGTAGAGCATACCTGTCATATTGCAGCATTCTGATAAGTGCGTTACTTACAAGTAAAAAGTAAACAGGTTGAAAGTTTTAATAAAAGGACAACACGCATCATGGCTAACGCGTGTGCTCTGACCAGATTTGCTTTCGCCTAGTAAGACCTCCTTATGATTGCTACGAAATTAGCATTAAAACGAATCTATCTTCACATCTATCTGGTTGTATTACACACAACCCTAGCATATATATGCGAAACAGCATCAGTGAGAGTGGAAGGTATCAGGAAGGTGTTACCACTATTAACCATTCTTGCGTAAAGCATATCGTCGGCCATGCTGATAGAATCTCATACGATTGCGTCTATTTCGCTCGAGCATCGTCTCCATTGAAAATATCGACATATAAAAC